GGTGGGTGGGTGGGTGGGTGGGTGTGTGTGTGCGCAAATGGCGTGGGGTAAAGGCTCGCGCCACAGGTGTGCTGTTACACGGGTTTCCCCGCACCTGAAGCGCGGAGCGGTAACAACACGGAGCAATCGGCACAGGTTGTCACCACACGGAGAGGCGGCAGTTCTGCCAAGGCAGTAAAATACAGCTCAAGGAAGCGCAGGGTAGCCAACCTGAAGGGAACGAGAGAAACTCCACAATTCGCAGAAGGAATCGAGAAAAAACTCGTTGTTTTTGGTTTTTGGCTTTTTTTTTAAAGAAGTAATAGACAAGCCAAGCAGGTTCAAATTGCCCCTTGCCACCCACGTGTTCCTCATTAGCCTTCAGCCCTCGTTTCAGGGCGGCTCAGCTGCCCCTATAAACGCCCCTTCCCTGCCCAGTTACTGGGGGGTTTAGCCTTGGAAGCCCTTCCGCAGTCAGTAGGTTCCGCAGGCAACCCTCCCGCAGAGGTTGGTTAGTTGCGTTTTGTGTTTGGGGGTTTTTGTTTTGCTTTCTTTTTTTTTTTTTTTTTCCAGGGTAGAGGAGTTGTAAGTTTCACGTGTAGCTTTCTGTTTTGTCCTCTTGGTTGTGCTTTTGTATCAAGTAATGGGAAGCTGTGCAAAACTAGTTCTCACAACTTTTTAGTTTCATAACCAAGAGGGTTTTGCTTTAACTGATGGTTAAGTGTAAATTACAACTGTGAGATGTTAGCTTGGAACCATCTGAAACACTTTAGATGGCTTTAACCATCAGCAACTGATACACTTCATAGATACACCAGAGAATAAAGTACATAAAGTGATGGAATCTGAGCTAAAATGGGTTTATTTTCTTTAATACAGGGAAGTTGTATACGGTCCCAGAGAGAAAAATATTTCCATCTATGATGATGGCAGATTCTACAGGAGAGCAAACGGTAATGTTGGGCTTTACTGGAAAACTGTTTTTAAATGGAAAATCTCATAAAGAGTAATACTTAGACTGCAGTAGTGTTTCAAATATGCTGACTGCTGTAACAATCACTAGCTGAATTTACAGCTGGAGAATCTTACTACCCAAATGGAAAAATGGGAGGAAGGGAAAGAGGGATTTATTTTTTTTCCCCTCAACAGTAATGTTTTAAAATCAAAACTGCAATTGTAAAGGCTGCCGGAATAAACACCTTTGAATATTGTATTTAAAGATAGTCAATGAAGCACAAGCAGCAGTGAGCACTGACTTAAAATGCACGTTTACTGAAAAGAAGTAAATGCATTATGCAGCTACACCTAGAACACTCTACAACTGCTGCTTTTTAATTCTATAAATGACATTACTACAATAAAATCAGTCCTCCAGACTAATAAGTATATGATTCCAAGCTGCTACTCAAGTGAAGTCTTAAGTGACAGCCTACTATAAATTGCTTAAAAAACTTTTCAGTTTGCACCCTGAAGGCAATTTTAGGAAGGAAAGTCATACCTATGCCTGATGTACAACTGTATATTTTTGTTTCTGCTTCCTGGAATTGTCATAAACCTCTCACAATGCTTTGTAAGGTAGATATTTAAGTAGATGCTCTATATTATATACAGAGGGTTTAATTTGGTATCGTGTATCTTTGTTTTGTTTTGGAACTGAAAAAGCAATATGGTTGCTAGTAGCTGAAGTAAGAGCATAGTAATTCCTGTTCATAGTATGTTGGGAAACTACAGTCTGCAACTTCTTAGGGGTGAGGAGACAAAGGGACAGAGACAAGTGTGGGACAGCGTGTCACTGAGGAAACTACATTTATCTATTCCTAATTGTTATGGAATGTTTCCTCTCTGCTTCGCCTTTCTCCAGACATCTTTCCTTAAACCGTGTCCGTTTTTCTCCTGCTTCATTGCATTGGGAAAACAACACGAATATGGGTAGCTCCCTCCCTACTAAATATGACTTTTTCTTTGTGAATTGCCCATATTTCAGTAGTATAGCAACCAGACTGTCCTCCTACATCCTTTGTGTCTTTTGTGCCTTCCTGCAGAATGAAAAAAATCATAGATGAATGCATGCACTCGCAACTTTGTGCTGTTCCCATTCCAAGAAACTGGCAAGACAGTAAATGGTTTACATATTACAGAATCTGATTGCCCCCCCCCTCTTTTTCTATGTGTACTTATTATGTGAGATTAAAAAGGAGAAGGTAGCATTTTCCAGCCTAGTCTCTATTAATCAGAAGATAGGAATGACCCTGAAGAGATGACATAACATCCCTGACCCAATGGAGCTTGCTCAAAAGGAAAATGTGCATGTTGTTGCTCTGTTGAAAAGCAAAGGACTTCTTTGTAATTTAGAAGTGTAAGAAATAATTTTCAATATGCTAAGCAGCTTACTCAAGGAAACTTGCATTTGATAAAGGAGTTGACTTGACTCCAACTCAAGTCACTTACATGAAAGTTTTTAGATCACTTTCTGTCCTAATAATCAGCTTTATCAGATGGTATAGTGAGTTTTAACATAGTCAGAACGTGATCTACTGTGTTCTAAAAACTCCTGTTAGTTCAGCAAGAAAATTTTAAAGGCATATAGTAGTTTGTACCAACATATTTGCCAAATATTACTTCATATAAGCCATTTGCCAAAACAAAATTACTGAATTAAGATGATAAATTAATTTTAAAAATACTGATAGTTGTGGGAATATAAAGCTTGCAAATCTCTGCGGTTGGGACAAAAATCCTACAAAAGTCATGTAAAAACCACACCAAAGCTTACCCCATGTATACCATTCTACAGCCAGAATGTAGAGACAGTCAGCAGTGGATTGTAGAGTTGTTAGGAAAATAGAAGGTTATGATAAGTTTAATCTTTTAGTTGCACTAAACCTGCATGAAACTACTGCCTGGCATAATTCTTATCAGTTATACAAGTTGGAAAATTATCTTAGCTGAAACTAGAGACCTCAATTTAATCTCGTAAAAGTTTGCTGAATGGACTTTTTCTCCTGTTCCTGGATCACAGTGGCTAGCTTATTCTGTCATCCATTCCACAATTTCCATGTGGCAAGTGCTTGCAAGGATGAGCGAGTAACCGGAGAGATTAGTATTAATGTACTGCTGTTAGAATTCAGCAGCTGAAGGCTGCGAGGAGCTTTACAAGCAGCTGGTTTACTACAGACCACCAAGAGACAGTCTGTGTCTATGAGTATTTTGTTTGTAACCAATTCTAAATCTGAATTCTAATGCAATAGGTTTTCTTTATGTAGATGTTGTATGGAGGTCTATCACTACATTGACACTGTCCTCTTAATTTGCAGTGGCTACAAATACAGCACAAACTAAGCTTCAGGAAACTACTAGAGGGTTCAGAGTATCCAGAGGAACTGAAGTATGACTTCAATATAAAAGGGGAACTGAGGCATCTGGATACAAACGAGCCCTTTGTTTTCAATTATTACAAGAATTCACATGAGCAGAATCATAAACGCTATCAGGTTTTGGGACATTTGATTACCCAGTATGTTTATGAGCTCCTGGAAAGAGTCTGCATGCTGCAGAAAGTTTATATTCCTACCGATGCCGCAGAGGATGAACCAAGAACTTTCTTTTTCATGAACGAGAATGCACTAACAAGCTACTCCAGCCTCATTGTCCTTCTTCAAGACCGTGGAGTTTTCTGTGCCGGACAATGGGGGCAAAGGACGATTGTCAGTGAGGGCCTGGAGCATGGAACACAAATACCGTTCATCAAAATGGCCCTTCAAAGCCACGAGGGAGTGATTGTACTGAATCCTAATGACAACTTTGTTGATCTGAAGACTGAAAAGGAGAAGTTAAACTTTTCTACCACGGAAAAATCGCTGCCTCCTGCACAGTCCACCTGGGCGATCCCCAAGAGGGGCAGCGGCAGCCCCGAGGAACATACCTTGTATGTATGGGATCATTTCATTTCAAAGAGTGCAGCCAAGAATGTGGCCTTCATTGCCCATGGCTACGGTGGCTTGGTGTTTGTTGATCTGCTGGTGCAGAGAAAATGTGAGGTTATGAATAAAGTGTACTCTGTGGCGTTCATTGACTCCAGGCACAACATACAGCACCAGGCTAGAAGCGATCCACAAATACAAAAATGGATACAGACGTACTGCCGTGAATGGGTGTCAAACAGTAAGCCTCTAGGTAAAGCTGTAGGTTCTGTCATGAAAGTGAATTGTCCTGTTGTCTCTGCTGGAACGGAAAAGTATGGTTTAGCACCCTCCTGCTCCTTACATGACATCTTTAAGTATTTGAAGAGCGCGCTGAAAGCCAAGACTGCAACAGCCTCTAGGCGTTCACCTGTTTTAACCCGAAGCAGCACAAGTAAGGAGAGGCAATAAATAAAGGTATGCTGACTTGCTCTCAATAGTGGTTTCTTTCTTTCATAACTGTCCCTGCACCTTTCAGTCATCTACTTCCTCTCACTGCAGAGTAGCTTACACTTCTAAGTTTGCAGCTAGTTTGTTTTTTGGAGAAACACACAAATACAAGTTAACTATTAAGAAAGATGTGCACCATTGAAAGCTTTAAGCCACAACCCTTCAACTAGCTGTAAAATTAAAAGTTGCACCAAATAAAGATGTTAGGGCATATAAATTCTCATCTGCACCATTTTGTAAAATATTCTGCAGTTAATGGCTCTATAATCAGACTAAGCTATCAGGAAAACACTTAAGTGCACAGCTTTCATTAGAAGGACAAATCTGGAAAACAAAGATTATGTAAAGGATCTATTTCCTTCTCATTATATACCATATAGTGCTTAAAATCTTTCAAAAGCTGGAACATCCACCTTCCTCCCTGAAACGTTACTGTTAAGTTGAACAATACTTCAGGGAACCAGACGCTACTATCTTCCCTCCAGTCAGAGACAGTATGACCCAAACATGACTAATTTCTGTTTTAAGGACAGCTAAAGCCAGTGAGATTACTGGGCATGAGCCACTACAGAAATACAATACCCTAGCAACCTGCAGTTAACAAGGTGATGCAAAAAGAATGACACTGCAGATTTATCTCAGCTGTTTAATTTCAGACAGAGGCAGGAACTAGAGACAGCTTTTAAATGTCCATATTCGAGGTGTACAATTTACACAGGCAGGTAAAATAATCTTTAAAGGGAATGTAAACAAAATGGTTATTCTGAATTTCCAGTTTAATCCTGTGGAAATCACAAGTGCTCAGTGGCTGCAAAAGAGCTTTGAAGGATGACAAAACCTTGTCCTATGCCTTCAGTTCCCATCTCAGTCAAAAAAAAATGTTGAACAGTAATACTGGGTACCAGAGAAAAGAGACTGTCAGCTTCCCTTTAATGTTTATATTCATTTCAGTCATCTCTAATACTGCTTGAAAAAGCTTCTGTCCTGTTATCCAGCAATGGGTAAAAGTGTAAGATTCCACTGGAAAGGCAGTGTCAGTTCAATGCTCTTGAGAGCAAGCATAGCTTTTTAAATAAAGACTGGTTTACTGCTGTTACATCTGAATGAAAATGGTACTAAATAGATAATTCATAGAATATATGGTGCTTTAGTCAAAATAAGTTGCACTAGAGACACCATCACTGAGGATGCATACAACCTGCCTCTTTTGTAGGAACTGGTCAGTGTGCAACCCAAAGAACAGTTGCTTGTGTGAATTCTGTGCATGAATATGCAGCTGTTTACCAGAGAAGTATGAGGTGACAGAATATCTGTCTTCAGAAGGAGACCAATATGATCCTTCAACATTAATGCTCAAACTCTTCCATGGTGTCAGAGGTGGCTAAAACTGCTTGAAGAATAAAAGGGATCCACAACATCGGTCATTTCTGTAATTCTTTGTCTCGAGTCATCCCATTAAATTCCTTGGTAGAGAAGGTCATATTTAGGAATGTTTCTGGGATCAATAGGACTTCTCACAATGAGCTTTCCACGCATTGCTCCACGGTAAATCACCTCAACCAGATCTATAAAGTCTTGCTTTGTTTTGAAGCTTCCTACAAATTTGGTATGGTCTGGAGACCTAAAAATAAGCATAAGATAAAGGTAGAATCATAATGGTAAAGTGTTCAAAGCAAAACCACCTAAAGACAAGAGAGAAGACGTATAATGAGATTAGGGGTTCTGATTTGGCCATTCTGAAAGAACGAACCACACTGGTAATGGCATAATCAAGTCAGGAGTATATTGTGACCTCCAAAGTCCAAAAAGGTGCAGTGTCATGTCTAAAGCTTTAACCATACTATTTTTTGCAGAATTCAGGCATGTTTGACAGCTGACACTTACTTATTGCATCAGAGCATATTTCAGAATGCTTCTTAATTTTATGTCCCTCTGGCTTCCTATAGAGTTCTCGATGCAGATGCTGGTAACAACGTTATAATTTTCAAATGTTATCTTCCCCAGACACAGTAACATAAAGACTGGTAATTCTTACAGACCTAATAGATAATGCCAGTTAGGATGACATACCCATAATCAACCTTCATGTGTTGTCCATTGAAGAAAAATACAGTAGATGGAATATAACTGATGTCAAAATACTGGGTGTACACTGGAACCTTGTCTACATCCACCAGATAAATGACTGCCATTTTACTTAGGTCATGAGCTGTCTTTGCAAGCTGAAAAGAGTGAGAAAGATAGATATGACAACTGAGTTGAAACACAAGAGGAAAAAGGGTGGCCATCTTTATGAAGTCCGTTTCCCTTACGTCTTATCAGTTTAAGCTGGACTAGAATATCACATCTTCTCTACTTCAAGCACTTTGTACACCCACTACAATAACATAAACGTTTAGTCAATTTTCAAACTGTTTTATGAATATAGTATTGTTTCATTTTGCGTTTGTCACCAAAATTTTCAGGAGACACCATATTATCTACAACCAGCATATGATAATTCTCTTGCATGCAAGAGGTATACTAGTAGAGTTTATTTAAAAAAATAAAAATAAAAAAAGGAAAAAAAATTGCTCTTACAATATCATCGAGCTGCAGACAAACAGCATCGTTATCTCTTCCAAACCGGAGGACCAAAACCTTCTCAGCCACGCTTTTTATTGCCTGATCCACCTCCCTCTTACAGGTCAGCTTGGGCAGCAGAAAACTCATCCTGACAGGCCGCGGCTTCCACTAAAATTCCCTACTCACGGAGGAAAAAAAACCAAACAACAACAAAAACCTGCGTCAAAAACCAGTGAAGCTTCTCCATACTATTTAAAAAAAAAAAAAGAAAAAAAGGTAAATAAACCACCGATCACCACAACTGTCTGACAAGCCCCTGGGGCTCCAGCCTCTGCATCAGGCCCCAGCCCAGCAGGGCCCAGGCGCAACCCCCCAGTCCCCGCAGGGCCTCGCCCCGCACCAGGGGCAGCGGCAGGACCCCCCCGGCACCCCTCCTCAGGGGCTCCCCCCGGAGAATCACGCACCCCGCGAAGCCCCGCGGTGCGGGGAGAGGAGAGGAGAGGAGAAGAGAAGGCCGGAACCTTGGCCGCGCCGCCACGGAACCCCGAGGGCGGCCGAGGCGCCGGCGGACCGGGCCCTGCCCGCGCATGCGCAGGCCGCTCGCCCTGAGGTGAGATGGAGATGGCGGCGAGGTGGGCGCCGCGGCGGGGTGGCTGGTAGCCACGTTTGTCCCACAGAGGCGTTCACCTGCCCCCTTCCCTTCCCAGGCGGGACGAGACGGAGGCCAGGCGGGTTGGAGCGCGGCCGGAGCTTCAGCAGGTGTGGGCGCAGCCGCTGGCGGTGGAGGCCTCTCCCGTCCCGTGTTTCCCGTGAGCGGGCGGGGGGTACCGGCGAGAGTACTCGCCAGCCGGGGCGCCGAGGTGCCCGCCAGTGGCTCCCGGGGACGTTGGGGACGGCCGCTCGGCTCCCTGCCGTGCGGCCCAGCCCGGCTTTCCTCGGCGGGCGCGGAGCGGGGCCTACGGCGCGATGACCCAGAGCCCGCGCTCCCCCGCCGGTTCCCGCCGGTGTTCCCGGGTCGGCGGCGCGGCGCGGCCTTTCGAGGTGTCGCCTGGCTTGTGGCGGTTGGGTGCGATTGCGGGCTGCCTTTACAGCTGTGGAGAGAGCGGGGTGCCGCCGTCTCCGGGAGAGCCGCCTCGCCCTGCCCCGCCGCCCTCCCCACACCGCGGCTGGACGGGCCTCCCCACAGCCAGGCCTGGGCATCGGTGCCGGGGGAAGCAAAGGGAATTATTGAGTCTCTGAAATATGGGTGAAGGGCCTTCCTGTTCCTGGGATTAGTTACAGTGAAGTAATGCTAAAAAATAAAAAAAAAATTCAGGAAAATATTTTCAGTCCTACCAACCTAGGTTCTTCCGAGAGATTGAGAGTAATTCCTGCAGAAATGACAGGGTAGCGTGTGTGTTAGACACAATGAAAGGTAACTTGGCTGTTACCAAAAGCTGCCATCAGGTATTCAGGTTGTGTAACCTGACTTAACTGGAGCTCTAGGAATGTAAGTTAACTGAGGAACTGATCCCTTGATTTCTGCAACCCGGACAACATGCTTTTCTGATTGCTGCTTTTGACACCATGTGTAATACTGGAATGTAAAATGATTAACATCTATACAGTCATACGCTTTTTCTCTTAACTTCTTAACTGCGACCTTACAAGGTTGTTGGGTTTTTGTTGTTTGGATTTTTTTTTTGTTAATTTTATCTTAATTACTGTAGAGAATGAAAGATCAGTTGCCAGTTTGCCCAATTACAGTACTGTAAGATGCACGGCAATTTATATATTATTTCTAATAACATGCTGCTCTTTCTCTGGCTCTTTACCTGGGCAGGCACGTATATATAACCCCAAAATTAGGTTTAACTTATTTTGTATGTCAGATTATTTTCAGGTGGTAAGTTATTAGGGAGTGTATGAGTTTTGCTTTAAAAATTTGGAACTTATTTTTTTGTTTTTGCCAAATTGTTTTCTGAAATGTTGAAACGTCACTGATTTTACTTAAGTACTTTTGCATAGGACAAGGAAAATATTAAAGGTTCTTGGATGTTTTGCTTTTTGCAGACCTTTTACATTTAAATACAAATGTGTATGAAATTAATGGGACAACGTTTCTTTGTCTCCTTAGCTTTACGTGCCAACATCAACTTCACAGGCAATTTAGCAAAAAGAAAATAGACAGTCTTTTCTTATACTAAGATGGTCTTTTCCTATACTAGTTGTTTATTCTTCCATCTCTTCTTTCTAGGAAGTGTCTGGTGAATCAGGTGTGGAAGCTCATTTGGGTGGGATGATAACCAGCTGTTCTTTTTTTTTCTCCACCTCCTGGTTAGCTGTCCCTAAGATCAGTTATCTGTTTGGCTCATAGTGCGACCGTGTGAATGCTTGCACTGCTGAGGGAGCCAGGAACAAGTTGCTCAGGGGACATCAGAGTGCCTTCAGGGGCAGTAGCGTTTGCCTGGCCAAAACTATAGCATTCGTAGCTTCAGTAGTTCCAGTGACCTGCAACGTGGAAACGCCTAGAAAAGGGAAAACTTCAGTGCTACAGTTTGCCAGTAGAGCTTTCCCAAAATATAATGGTAAAAGCGAAAATGTGATCTTCTGTGATAGAGAGTTTTCCCAGAAAATGTTACAAAAACATTTTTGGTTTTGTCCATTTTCACAATACAGGTAAATTCTGTAGGCACCTCAGGATGTATATAAAAATATTTTGGGTCTCCATGCAACATTTTGCTTGCTCTGGTTGCGAAGATTCTTACTTGTCACATGATACAGATAATTTAAATAGATCTCAACCAATACTTAAGAGTTGTTTGAGGACATTTTGAATTGCAGTAAGTGTAGCTGTTTTAAACAGCAGAGCTAACCATGTCTCCTCACAGCAGTGCGACATAACGCTGTTCTTACTTAGAAAACAGTAGAAAAGTGGAAGCAGATGTTTCTAGTATTCTCCAAGAAGTTACTGTCTGTCAGTGTTACTAAGGATGAAAATCCATGTGTGTTTTCTAAAAGATTTCTGACAGGTTTTTTTCTCCTCTTATTTGTGTTTTGCAGATAAGTGTTTGAACACAGCACATGTCTAACCATGCAGTCTGCTAACGTGCTTCTGAAAAAAATTATAAGAAATTCTGTCCTTCCATTTGCTGCGCAACATGGGATGAAAAAGGATTTGTTTCCACTCAGTAGAACTCTGAGTTTATCACTTTGCCTGAAGCAGGACAATTCAGCCAGTCCCTCAGAAAAACTAGATTTAGATGCGTGGAAGAAGGTAATGAAGTCTGGGTTGCAAGAAGAAGTCAGTGAGACGGTGTCTGAGCAGAAGGAGCTTTCCACTTTGGCTGCTGCACGTGAGATTTTAGAGATGTGGAGACTAGCTGGCAGATCAGTTCCAGAAAATATCACTGAAGAGCAGCTAAAAACGTTTATGGAATGTCCTTCCAAGTCAGCCAAAAAGAAGTATTTAAAATATTTGCATCTCAAAGAACTTTACAAGAAAAACGACAAAAGAAAGATGGATGAGAAAAGGGAGAGGAGGCTGGAAACACAAAAGCAAGCTTCAGAAACTGATGAGACCAAAAGGAGTTCATTCATGTGCTTGTGGGCCAATACTATGGATAAAGCATACAGTTGGAGGGTTGCTCAGTCTATGATTTTTGGCCAACCCCTAATATTTGACATGTCTTACGAAAAAGATATGTCTGTCCGAGAAGTCGCAAATACAGTGAGACAGATAGTATTAAGCGAAGGCTGCAATCGAAGATCTGTGGATCCATTCCACATCCACTTCTGTAACTTGAAAGACGACAGCCTCTATCATAAGGAATTTATCAAGCATTATAGAGAGGCGTGGGGCAGATTGCTTATCACTGTGACAGACCAGTGCTACACCGATATCTTTCCAAAGGATAAGCTTATCTATCTGACTGCTGATTCTCCCAAAGTAATGAAAACATTCGATCATGATAAAATCTATATTGTTGGGTCGATGGTTGACAAGAGCATAAAAACAGGAGTCTCTTTAGCACGGGCAAAGCGGTTGGGGCTGGAAACGGCGGCCCTTCCATTGGAGAAGTACTTGCTTTGGAATTCTGGTGCCAAAAATCTCACCCTGGATCAAATGATGCATATTTTATTAACCTTGAAAGATACTGGAGACTGGAAGAAGGCTCTGGAATTTGTTCCAAAAAGGAAATATTGTGGCTTTGTAAGCAGGCCTGTGCATGAACTGAAAAAAACCTTAAACCTGATAAACACACTTAAACTTGAAAAGAGACAGGAAGAAGCACGAAGGCAATTTGCCAAGAACTACTCTAAGAAGCTAACGCAAAAGTAGAGTGACGGGGAAGGGAATGATTTATTACAGAGAAATTGTGCCCCTTAATGCTCCAGTTTCTCAGGACTTCTAGAAGTGTATGCAGCTGTTTGTCTCTAAAAATGCCTTTGTTGGTCAAGTTTGAAAGGACGGTTGTTAGGATTATTATTTTTTTTTTAAATTACCTTAGTATTCTGGCTGTTTGAATTTATTCACATTATTGAAATCATGTAAGAGAAATGAGATAATCTGTTCTAAAAAAAAAAAAATCTCTGTTTAAAAACAAAAATATAAATCTGTTCAGTTGAGTCACACTGGGATGAGGATAACTGGAACTGAGTGCAAAGGTGGTTATTGAGAGAATTCCTCGGTTCTTTGGGTTTGCAGTGGGTGGAGGCCATCCACAGTTGTCTTCTAAAAAGTTAGCTGAGATAAAATAGAAGAGACCTTTCCCTGTTACTTTGGTGTGTTGCTGAATTGACTTTTGATAAGTGAACTAAAAACGTGTGGTTGAAACCTAGCATGAATTTGGGGAGTTGCACTGTTTGTTTCTGGGAGTTCTGTCTGGCACGAATCAAGTCCCTGTTTGGGAGGAATAATCCAAATTTTCTTGACCCTGCCAAAAAAACTACCTTACATAGTGTTGTGTGAGACTCATCACCAAGTGCTCGTGTTTTCAGTCTGTAATGCAGATTTCCCAGACTGCTGGAACTTAGATAAGTAGACCTGTTAGCAAATACTTACGGGAGTAGAGAGCCTTTTGGTATTTCTCACAGCTGAGAATGTACAGATGGTTCTCTCTGTGTCGGCCTGTGTTCAGGCTGCAGAGCTACAGTGGGCACCTTGTTAAATGTGGTTCCTTCTGCTGCCTGGAGGAGGAGGAGGAGGGGTTTCTTGATGCCTTTACAAGCGCTTACAGCTTTTTGATTTAGTCTGCTTGACTACCCAGATGCTCACAACTCGTCAGTGATGGCAGATGTTGGGTTTGGTCTTGAAAATTCAAAAACTGAGCAGAGAATGTAATATGGAAGAGTAGGCTTCAGATGTACCGGGGGTTGGTGGTGATCTGTTTCTCTGCCTGTTATGGTTTGAGAACTCCTAACAATCTATTGTTGTTTAGATAATTATTCTATCACCCGATGACCCCTCCCCACCCGGAAAGGGGAATCAAGGAACGCAAAAAAACACAAGGGTTGAAATATAAATAGATTTAATAGACTAAGACTAAATAATTAATACTAAAGAACCAGTATTAATCCCGATACTGATATAAGATATACAAGAATTATACTCAGCCAATTCCATCAGCGGGAAGCTGTGCACTCCCAGCAGGGACAGCAAATGTCGGACACTGCCAGCGCAATGGCTTCAGGAGGAAGGGAAGGCCTCAGGGGTCCGGCACCGGGGCAAGGAGTTGTCTGGACCCGCCGCCATCAAGGGAGAGACAGCTACGCAGCAAACTTTTCTAATTTATATTGAATGTGACGTTCAGGGTATGAAATAATCCCATTGGCCAGCCTGGGTCAAATGCCCAGGCCTTGCTCCTCCTTGTCCCTGCGCCTGGCAAGGCTCTAAATCACTAAGACCTTGAATCCCACAGAGCCTGGCTGGCTATGAAGTAAATATTTTCACAAATTCAGACACTAGAGTGTGCCAGAAGTGCAATTTTGCCCAGCGTTAGAAGAAAAGTTAACCCTGTGTCTCTCAGCCCAGGACACTGCCTCGCCTCCTACTGCGGGCCATTGCCGGGAGGCGGGGGGAGGCCCAAGCCAAGCCGGTGCTGCCGCTGAAGCGCAGGGCTCCGCGGGCGGGGAGGGAGAGCTCCGTCCTTTGTTCCACCGCGGGGCCGGGTGCCCGGCGGGGCTGAGGAACACGGCTCCCACGTGCGCAGCGCGGCCGCCTGCCTCGCCCTTCCCGCCCGGGGCCTACCCGCCGGAAGCGCGTCAGAGCGGCGTCACTCGAAGCTCACCCGCCCCCCTCCTCCCCTTGCCGGCTGGGAGAGCAGAGCTTCCGTCTACGTCATTCCCGCCGCGCCGTGGATAGGCGGGGCCAGAGCCGGCCGCTCTGGCCTCCCCGCGCGCTGTCTCTATGGCCGGGGGAGGGCCCGGGGGGTGCCGGAGCCTCGGCGGGGCGGCGCGCATGCGCGGCGCGGGAGGCGGAGGCGGGGGAAAATGGCGGACGGCAGAGCTGAGGGGCTCCCGGCCGGGCGGGCCTGGGCCGGGGCTGGGCGGGCCGTGCAGTGCCCGGCCCTGCGGGGAGAGGGGGCGGCCCGGGCCTGAGGGGGCTGCGCTGGAGGAGAGGCCGAGGTCTGGGCCCGCTGTCCTCACGCCTGAGGCCTCCGCCTCGAGATCTAACCGCTCCTCCTCGTCCGCCTAAACGCGGTATTTGGCTTTCTCTCTAAAAAACCTACGGAATAGTTCTGCCCTGTGTTGAGAGATTTGACTTGCTGCAAGCAGGGATGAACACAGCACCTTAAAGGTTAGCTTTTAACAGCTGCGGCACCTTTGCAAAAGTGGGTGCAGTGAATATTCCGTACCTGCTGTGTTAAGCATTCTGGCGTTTTTGCTTGGCAGCAGCCTGCAAGTTTTTCTGTTCGGTTTTATATTACGAGTTGGACATTCTTGTCATCTTATTATCATCATTACTTATTATCAGTTCTCCTAAAGTTTTCAATCATGCGGTTTTTTCCTTCTTTCATCCCTGACTTAAAATTGAGAACATCATGCCTTTGCAAAGACAAAGCTCCCCTTTCCTTTCCTTTCCTTTTTTTTTTGTTTGTTTTGTTTTGTTTTGTGTGTTTTAAGTATACCTGTAGGCAGAGGGCTTTTTTTTTTTTTTAATCTGTTGAAAGAGTAAATCAAGCTTGTAAACCAATTAGGATAGCTTCAGCAGTGAATATTATTTCTGCTAATCACTAAAATAGGAACAGTAATACCCAATCTTAGATAGTTTCTTGGCGCTCTGTTAGGCTTTTTTTGCTTTTGGGGTGGGTTTTTTGTTGTTGTATTAGTAATGCAGTTACTGGACAGCATCAGTATGTCAGTTATCAGTTCTGTCTGATGGTGTGCTGGAATGTGATCTTAATGAATTATGGTGCATTGGCCTTAAGGAAGGATAGTTACTCCCTGATGATTTTTGAAAGCAATTTAGTCTTTGGCTTTTGCCAGGATCAGTGGGGTTTATCTTAGAGTTAGCTTAGTTGTGGCTGGTTTGTTCCCACCGCCACCAATGGTCACACTCCCTAGGGCAAGAGATCCTGAAATGCTGCGCAGGTAGCTCTGTCAGTCTTGTCACTGAAACCACCTAGATAGTGGGAGCTGTCCCGTTACGTAGCTTGTTGATACTTATGAGAAAAATTGATCTGTGAAGTAGGACAGTTTTTTATTATTGTGATCCATAAAAAGAGCACTGGTCAGACTAGTTTTTGACATAGTAATGGTGCTTTCTGTAGGTGAAGTGTGACCTCCTTGAGATCCCTAGGAAATAATAAAATAATAAGAAGAAAATAATAGATAATAAAGAAGCCTTGATGTCTGAAACATGGGTAAGCATTGGTATGGGAAATGGGAGAGACCTGTTCAGTGGATAATATGTCTGCATTTCTAACCGTTTCCTGCAGAAATAGCACGATGGCTCCTTCCCCACCTACCCCAATTGTCCTACGCCCTTTATAGCTCCTTCACCAAGTAAGAGTATTTCTGTTAGCAGTCTACAGTTTGTCCTAAGTGGAGCCTAGTAGAAGTAACGTTCAGAATGTGCTGGTGATAAGAGCTAATTTTGAGCGAGAAGATATTAAATATTTTGGTGAGAAAACAGATGTGGGTAGATTGCGTTAGGCTTCAGCTTGTGCTTAGCACTATTCTAGAATTTGCAGTCAAAGCAGCACACTGTAGTGTAATTAGCTTCAAGCTAGCATTAGCTTAGGAACCTGGACTGGTCCAATGTGCCCTGAGATTTGGGCTGCTGTGGGTTTTGTATCTTACGAAAAAGAAGACTTCTAGGCCCGTGGTGCCAACGCTTTAAGGGCAATGGATCTTCTACCTACAGTCACATCACCTTACAGCCTACAGTGTATCTAGATTGAACTTGTGATTGAATATTCTTTTTAATGTATTTCATGGACTACCTGTAAAGAGCTTCTCACAGCGTTGCAGACTGCTGCTTGGGAAACTGCTAAGACCCCAACCAGTGCCCAAGGTTGCTTGTTTATCTTTCCTCCTTGGTTGCTTTTATGGCTATGCTTTCTGGGTCAAATTTCTAGTGATGCAGATTAGTACAATTTTTTTAATAGACTGAAATTGATTTAAGTTACTAATTTATTTTTTTAATGTAACCTGCCATGTTTCCAAGGGCGAATAATAAATCTGTTTTTGTTCCAATCCCTTATTATCTTCATAGCTAAAAGAGTGAGGTAGAAAAGGTATATTTTGCTGCTTATGATTTGGGAAATAGCCAAAAATTATGTATGGATGGTGTCATTAGTTTTTCTTTCTTCTGATGTTGTTTGCTTCCTTTCTTTCTCAGAGCTAAAATCTTGTTGACCCCCAGTTAAGACTAGCTTCTCTCTCATTGCTCTCTCTTACTTCGTAGCTTTTTGCTGTTAGAGAACAGTGCAAAGAGGTTTTTTCTCTGATGGTCTGAATTTGCTGCGCATGGAGAGTCCTGTTCTCCACTTGATATAAAGAGGGACTGGTGCTAGCTCCAGTTTTTCTTAGACTGGTTGTATGAGCACTTTCCTGTCTGTTCCACAATGTGTGGTTTGTTTTGTTTGGTTTTTTTTCCCTTCTACTGCAGTGATTTGCTTATTGCAGCAGTAGAGGAATGTATTTTTGCTGAAGCATTTACTCTGTTCAGTACGAGTTTTCCAAGGACACCTTAGTCTCCTGGTGTAGCTGAAGAAGCCAAGTGTATAGGAATGGAAATGCGATTTGTGTGGTTTTTCTCTGTGGATCATGGTTCAGCTGCTATGTTTTTCATGACTTTATACAAAACCAGAAAAGATCAAATCTCTCTATATATGTTTTTCTAGTGCTGATTCCTTCCTCAAACAGAGCTTGGCAGATTTATTACAGATGAGATGCGGACAAGCAGTGACTTGAAACATGATTGAGACAGCTGGCCTCACTGTAGTCACTTCCATGATTTTAGAGTTGTGCCAGACAAGTCTAGAGACTGGCATGGACATGTTTTTGTAGAAATTTAGTAGAATTAATTTTAACTTAGGTTATCTACTCTAGATTTGGAATTGGGATTCCAGTTATGAAAGCTTATCTATGGCAATTTAAACCCTAACAAAATTTAGTGATCTACATGTAATTCACTATGTGAACTTTGACTTCCATACTAAATAAAGAGAGATGGTGCTTCAAGATTGTTTTCCTGGCTCATACACAAGAAGTGCTTTACAAGTAGTGGAGTGCTTGCAGTATCTTCTCCTCTTTGTGTTTTGCTGTCCACTAAATGTACATTGGTGGAAACTGCTGTCACTAAAAACACCTTGCCTATTATAATGCTTTTTGAGGTTGCTGCTCCCATCAATCTGCTCAGTAAAAATAGCTCATCTTGGTAAGTTGTTTCGACTTCACCAGGACCTGAAGAAGAGGCAGAAAAACCTGTGAAAACTAAGACTGTTTCTTCCAGTAATGGAGGAGAAAGTTCGAGTCGCAGCGCAGAGAAACGGGCAGCTAATGAAGAAGCTGAAGACTTCACTACAAAGCCTGCTCCTGCCAAAATGTCCAAGTTTGGATTTTCCATAGGCAGTCAGACAACAAAGAAGGCATCTGCAATATCCATCAAACTAGGAGCAAATGTAAGTTGTCTGAGGGCTTTTAATTTTAAGGAAAGTGTGGCAAAGTGGAGGTACTTCCGTGCAGAAGGAAGGCCTTGAATTAAATGTGGGTAACTTGGATAAAGTTTAAGAAAACATTGCAGGGCCAGATGGTCATGCATGTGTAACTACTTCAGGGTGATTAATACTAGGTCACTTGTTTCAGGAAGCATAAGACTTGATTGAAATGAGCTGTAGATCTTTGAACACACAGAATAATTTTGTAATGAGATGTGATAAGTCTGGAATAATTTCCTGAGGGAAATGAGCAGACTTGTTAAACTATTCAGGCTACTTTGAAATGAGTGTTGGGAGCTTCATTGCATAGGATGCTTAAAGCTACAAGAAAGCAAGTACTCCCCTAGATGGCTTAATAGGTCGTCTTCCACTCCAAAGATCTTATTTTAGTATGGGGAGCTATAGTCTGTTTTTCAATGACTTTGCCTGTTCTTTGCAAGGTCAGTATGATTCATTTATACATTTATGCTTTGTTACGTGGGTTCCGAAGAATTCTGGTCCCCTTTATTGTCCCAGTACAAGGCATCCTTCTGCTTGTTCAGATGTGAATCTGATGCTTCTCTTTGCTACCAAAGTAGTCCCCTACCAGCTTGGGCAAGGACAAGCCGGATGGTGCCTCTCTATCTAATACAGTTCATTTACACTTCCCACCTACCACTGTGGTGGATACATTATAAATCCTTGTCTGGATTAAATTCAAACTGTAATCATGGAGGGCTTGCACCTGCAATGCCAGCATTTTACAGATCTGCAAAAGATGAAAAGTGTGCTGTTATTTTGAGATGGGAGGGAGATGTGAGCTGGCAGCGTTCTAGGGTATAAATGCAATCAGGTCAGCTCGGACTTTGGAAAAATTGACAAAGCTGCCTTCTCTGAGCCACTAGCAAGCTCTGATTTGTCATGTAGGAAGATAATTTCAGTGGCAATATATTTGGCTCAGGATTTCTGGCTCACTGAATTTAGTGTGTGACTGACAGTGCACCAGATTGGACACTGCTGAAACTTAACCTGTTTCTTTTTAGTCATTTTTATTCCCTTAGTCCATTACCCATTCCTGTGAAGCTGACACTTTAAAAAATGGCACAATATTTCTATGTTATACATTATTAGGAATAATGTACGTTATGAGGAATAGCTGCAAGCAGTTGCATAAGGGCTCTGCTGCAGTATCAGCTTGGAAACTCTGAGTGTATATGAAGTGATCACTCATAAAGTCAAAATGGAGAAAGCTCTGTATGTGACTGATTCAGGTACTTCGTAGTGCCGTAGAAGCAAACTGTTACTGATGACTCAACACTTTCATAGTAGCTTCGAAGCTACTTTTGATGTCTCTGCTGTATTACGTGCAACAATCATGAGTTTGGTAGCTTCTTCCACTTTAGAGGAAGGTATTTATTAAAAATCAAAATAATACTTTTTAAAGGAGCTTTATTATTTGGACTGCTTGATGCACACTGATGCTAATTAAAAAGTATTGAATTGTTTTAAACTAGAAAGCTGTTACGTTGCTAAAAGACAAAAAGAATAAGTATATTCATGTTCCTTGCATTGATGGATAAGAATACTCCAAAAGAATAGTGGAAACAGTGACATGGTACAATTTTGAATACTGTGACTTATTCAGGTTCTGATGTAATTGTTCATGTCATGCACCAGTGGCTGCGCACCCCTGCAGTGGGCTATAAAGTTAAGACTTTCTTGTGGGGAATTGTAATATGAGAGAGCTCGGCTTGATTTTCAGGGTGTATCTCGTGCAAATGAGCCACTGTTTTTCATTAGAGAAAAACCTTTATCTGCTTGATTCCAACAAAACCACTTTTACCCCTCGTTGGCCATTTCAGTGAAGGTGTTTGACTTCATTTTATCAAAATCTTTAAAATACCAAGGGTAGCTTTTTTTGTGTTAGTAGACTTACTTGTGCATTTGGTCTTTTTCAGAAGCCTAAAGAGCCTGTTCCAACCCTTGCTCCAAAAACTCTTTCTGTAGCAGCAGCTTTCAATGAAGATGAAGATGTGAGTAACAAACTAGTGATAACTCAAAGTTACCGTTGCGGGTTAGAGTTGGGCAGAGAGAGTGGGTCATTTAAGTTTGTTACATAAATGTCAGGGATTTTCGACCTAGAAACATGTCTTGTATTTTTGTTTAAGAATGTACAACTTTGTAGCTCTGTGTTGGTTCAAGAAATGATTAGAGTGCAGATAATTTTTCCCTGAAAATGAGATGCACAACATAATTTGAATTCATGGTTGCTTTCTCTGAGCTTGATAAAGGAGAGGTGAAAAAAGGTTGTAGTGCTCTGGTTTGCTAAATATTGTATTGTTGTGTTACTGCTGCGTGTTACACAGAGGTGAAGAAAGGAGTTTGTATTTCTTTCTATAACCTTGTAGAACCTCTGTTTTGTCCTAAGTCACTTTGATTTCCTGTAGGGCTTTCTTGTCAGGCATTTGAAATGTTCTGAAGAGAGCCACACTCTAACCTCCTTTCTCTCTGTAGAGTGAACCAGAAGAAATGCCTCCAGAAGCCAAGATGCGCATGAAGAACATCGGAAGGTAGGTCAGCTTTTAACTATGGTTTGGAGGAGGGTGAATGTGTGAGAATACCTTCTTGAGAACAGGTCAGATCTTGCAGATGATTTAAAAATATGGGAAGATAGAATAGGTTGAAAAAGGTTTTCTCCAGGAAAATTTTAATACAGATAGTTTCTAACATTTCAGCTGCATGTTAAAAGTAGTACACTTGTATTTGCACTTTGAATCTTATTTGCCACCTTCTTTCTGGGGAAGAAATTGATTCGATATTAAATAGAAGCTACCTTTCTTCTTGGAAAGGTAATAGGTGGGAGTTCCTGCTTGCTGCTAAACTTTGTCTTTCTAGTTCTCCATTTTATAGATTGCCCATAAATATGGTAGTCTGCTCTGATTTTTAAGCTCCCATGCAAGGGGAAGATGAAAATCATCTCTTTCAGAGACACAGAGAGTAGCTTATTTACTTTTAAAACACATATATGTAATTCTTCAGCTTGCTACAGATTTAAGTATAGGGCCAATTCTAAAATAAATGGGACATTTTCAGAGGAGGCTTCATTTCAGTTAACATCTTCGGCATATGTATTTTGAAGATGTTTATAACGACAGATGACTTTTCAAAGTCAGTGTCCCGGAGGCTCAGTGCTATTCAGTGCAGTTTTTTTTCTCTGGTAGCAAATTTGGATTCTCAGTTTTGTAGCCCTTGCAAGAAATTCATCACTGCTGGCAGCAGCTGCCCTTCCTACCTCCTCTGCTGCTGCCCCATCTCATCGCTCTGTCTTGATGCGCTATAGGGAGGTCGGTTCTGTGGCCGACCTCTGGTTGCTAATAGTGAGGACTCCTGATGTCATGGAAAGAAGGAAATGTGGGGTAGTTTCTGGTGGCAGGTTGGACTTGAAATTGGGGTTTCCAGTGTCACGTTGCGCAGACTACTTTAGTTGAAATTATTTTCTCAACTGGTTTTGTTCTCCTTTTCACAGGGATACACCAACCTCAGCAGGACCAAATTCCTTCAATAAAGGAAAGCATGGTTTTTCTGACAACCAGAAGCTATGGGAACGAAATATAAAATCTCATCTTGGAAATGTCCATGACCAAGAAAATAACTAAATGATGTGGATTGAGAGTTGGGTGTTTGGGGGGAGGGGAGGGTGAAACGTTAAAGGAACAGTTTCCTTTTTTAAGAATGGTATAAGACTATCTTTGGAGCCACTTTTTTAAGATTTTGAGTGGTACACTAATAACTGAGTTTGAAATTAGAGGTAATTTATGTTTTGTATACAGATTTCAAGGCATTTGCTAATTTTGTAGTTCCATGTGATTAGTTCAAAAGGTTACAGATAATAAAGAAATTGGAGTGGTACCTTTTTAAGATTTTTTTTTTTTTTTTTTTTTGGTCAGTGATTAATTAAGGTGGATGAAAAAGGTTACTGTCTCTTTAATCAGGTTAACATTGAATGCTCTCGCATTCTCACTTCTGGCTCCCTCTTCATAACAGGAGAAACAGTTGAGTCCTAGGAAATACTGCTAAAGAAAGTGAGCATTGTCTTGTGCTAGAAGTGTTACTGGACTATTAATTTGAACATAAACTTATGCAGGAAATAATAAGAACCTGGATATTTTTTTTCCTCCCTGCAGTCACCTTTTGTTAAGTCTCTGCAAACTAGGAATTATGTTGCTCTGAGTGGCTCTGGTAACTTAGCTCTAATTTTGTTTAAAACTTCATGTAGGATGTGTAATCTTCTGTGGCCTGTTTCATCCTAAGGAAACGGGCCTTGTCTGTATATTAGATACAGTCTGTAAAGAATATTCATTACAAAAGTAAGTCAGTATTTTCAGTGTGCTCCTCTTAAATCATTAGCCTTGAGTAGTGCTTGTTAGCATTTCCTTGTGGTACACAAAAGCCACCACCAAAAAGACAAGCTATTGTACATTAAGCTTCACCTTTGGTTGAGATATTTTTCTTTACTATGCCTAGAAGGAATAAAAGCCACACCAAAAATCGGTAACTCACTGCTTAAGTATGAAAAAAATCCAAGATGCACTTTCCCTATCTTGCCATTTAAAACAAAATGCCTTGATGCCTGTGACCTCAGCAGACACTATCAGGTGAAAGAAGAATCCTGAATTTGCAATCCTAATGCTTCTAACGAGTGACAACTTCAGAAATAAAACTCGACATTTTCCTCCCTGCCTGCCTGTTGCAGTAATTTTCAACAATGACATTAGTCTGGTCAGTTTAATTTCCTGGCTTTCATATTCCAGAACCGTGGTAGAGCATATCAAACCTAGTAACAACTGTCTACATGTCTGTCTAATTCATATTGCATATTTTTGAAACATTTTACTAGCAGAACTGGTTAAATAAAAAGTTATTAATAGCAACACCACGCAAATGTAAGTTTTTTTTTTTTTTTAAACTCAAATACCTGATAGTGTCAGCCACTAAATTAATGGAAATTAATTTCAGCCTGGAACTGGTTGCAGACTTCAGTACGTTAATTGCTTTCATCCTGCCCCTAAAACCTTTCTTTATGCTAAAGTTGAACCTGCGAGTGCGGAAAGGAAAGTGCATCTTGAAGTGGTTTGTTTTGGTTTTTGTTTTCTTTTTTTTTTTAGGAAAGCTCTGACCACTTAGACTTTTGAGTTTGTAAGTTCTAAAAAAATATTTTTTTGTATTTTTGTACTGTATGTGTAATCTTTTTTTTTCTTTTGAAGTCTGATGCAGTTGAAAACCTGTAACTATATTTTCTTTAAAAGCCTTGTTATAAACATAACATAAAAACGTATACATTATTTTTTTTCCATAGCAGAAATCTTTGGTTTATTTAAAACAAAACACGCTTTCAAAACTGACTTTCAGGATTTCCAAAACTGATTTGGGCATTGCTGGAACTGGGCAAGGCAAAATGAAGCATTTACTTTTCACTTATTTTCATCACATGTGGTTATGTTTGTTGAAATAAATCCCTTTACGATAGTGGTAATTCACAGTGAATAACTATTTTATCTTGCTCCTTAGTAGTTACTTGAGACTATTTTGGTCACTTGTAGTAGGAAAAAGCAAAAGACTAGGAGGATGACTTTGAGACGTGTTCTTTTTTAGTTAACCTGCCACCAACAACATCTTCCACATCTTTGGCTGAAGTAGACATTCATTTCAACAGAAATCTCCTGGTGCTTCAGAATCCTGTGGGACATTGCTGGGCAGAACAGCAGATGCTAGGAAATACTTTCCATGCGAGTGAGAGAGCAGGAGTTATATTTATCTTTCTTATTCCTACGGTCAATAAATGTAATCCTAGACCTTGTGAGAGACTGCAGCAGCTTCTAGGTCTCAGCTGAAGGTGAGCAGAGATCTTGCCTCACTCGGTGTACAAGTTATATTCTTTCTCAGTGCTTCACAGAAGAAAATCAATCAGGATGGCCTACATCCACTCAGGACTGAGCCACAAGGGTGTGGTTTTTGATGTCTGACATACACAAGAAAGAACTGATCTGAAAAGTATTGTCAAGGCAAACTTTAGCTGGAACTTCACTTGAAATTCTAGGCTTTGGTTACAATAGTCATTGTTGTATGAAGGTAGTCTTGGGGAGGGTGTGTGTTATTTTTTTGTGTGTGTGTTCTTTTTCTAAGAATATTTAGGAATCCTAAAGCTTATAAACTCACTGATTTAGCTGAGACCTTTAGCTGCTTAGCATAGCAAGGTACGTATACCTGCCAGTGGTTGAAATGTCCCTCCATGTCACCTGTGCAGTTTTATCTCGGAAGCTTGTGCTTGCTTAGCACTAAAGCTTTCCTTAGCACCTGAGCAGCTTGCAAAGTGTTCAAGACCTTAGGTGAAGTTGTAAGTAGTTCTCTAGTAACCTTCTGCCTGTCACTGCAGCTGGGCTGCTTCTGGGCCTGCTGGGTTGTGAATGGATCCAAACTCATCTGAAGTTAACTAGATTAAAATAATTTTTAAAAAAAACAAACCTAAAACCAGTGCAGTCATCTGTTGATGGACATGATTCAATGGTGTGGCCACTTTTAAACGTAATTTCATTCCTTTACAAGCGTAAGAGGTGCACTTTGCAGATTGTCAGAATCTGTATTCGTCTCACCAGCAGAAGGAGGTACCCAACCAGCCTGTCTGTGAGGTGACTGGTGGGTGCCATTTTAATTTCATGGGCTCACTCCCGTGTCGTAGGTGACCCAACTACAGTGTTCAGCCAACTTTGACAAAACCAGCTCTTGTGTCCTGATATGCCCACTGCAGCAGCAGCCACAGCCGTGTTCAGGCCTGATGCACTTGACCCCTGCCTCTGCCAGGTCTGCAGGGCCACCTCCTCCTCAGAACTCCTGTGACCCTCATGAGTTCTGGCGGCTGGTGGTGGCTTCACCAAGGCTTTCACTGGGAGGAGACTTGGAGGAAAAGGCAGCTTCTGCTTCCCGAAGAGGCAAACTGAGGTCCTAAACTGTTGGGAATCCCAGGTGTAACCAGAAATCTATGTGCTGCTGTAAGATAAGAAGATAAATCTGTTCAGAGAAGCAACGGAATTTGAAGGAGGCTCTTCCCAGCCATGTAGTTAGTAGCTTTGAAAGGTGTTCTGCAAAAAGAGGTTGGGTTGGTTTTTTTTCTAATTGATTATAAAATCAATTGATTTTATTGAGGAATGCTGAGTAGTTCTGCCCATAAGCTGCAGAAGGGAAGGTTATATTCTGAAATCACCATGATTTGTCCAGTTCCTCTGCCAAGAGACACTAGAATATCATAAAAATTGGACAACTAGCCAGTTCTTTTTATTTTATCCTCCTAACACCTTCCTTATTTTTTCTGGTTTTATTAACGGATAGATCTCCTGTTGTTCTCCAATTTTGATATATTGCCCTCTTAAAAACTCCATAGCGCTTACTTGGGAAAGCTGCTTGTGTTTAATACCGTGGAACCACTGCCTCTGGGCAGATGCGTAGTTACCCATCGAATTAAAAGCATGAAACACGAACTGTTACACTCGAGCTCTGTATGTAGCGTGTTAAACTTCTGTTCATGAACTTCCATTTAAAAGCCTGGAGCGGTGGGAGCCCGCACAAGGTCTAGTTGGGGAAGCAAACCTTTGGAACTCTGCCGTGCCCCCTCCGTGGGGTATGGATAAGTGTACATGGCAGGTAGCCTTCAGGAGAGCTGGAGCAGCTGAGGGTGGTGGTGACGGTCACAGCTCCAGCAATTAGCAGCACACGTTTTGATTTGGTGGCATAAACCTTTGCTCATCTTTGTGACTTTACTTCTTAAATTTGGTTCTTGGGGTTGGATTTCCTGATGAGGCGGATGCACAAATAAAGCCTTTGTGGCTCTGCAGCCAGAGCGCCACTGAAACTTGACATCATGAGCCTGTGTTTATGTTTTCCTTGCAGTACAAGCCTATTAATTTAAGGTAATGCAAAAGTCCTAATAAAAAGATAATTATCTCTCCTTTTCTCCCCCAGCTTTCCGTCATTTGTAAACACAGGAGTTGCATGGAAAGTGGTGGCTGCTGCTCAGCAGCTTGTTGTATAATGATAATTCTGCCTTAGCTTTTGCGGAAGAGGTGTAACTCTGGAGGCCTTTCACATGCATACGTTTGTCACCCTCCACTGTATAGAACTGCAGGCACCAAACAGCTGCGAGCATCCTGGGCTGTGCTTTAGTTTTGTTACTCAGATAAAATCCTGCCTTCAGGACTGAACTTACATTCCAAAAAGCCCCTTCAGAGTTACACGGGGCTCGTAAGCGTGTTCCCCAGAGCCCTGTGCCCGAGGGTGGCAACGGGGGGACCTGGGCCCTCTCACTTTCAGTAGCCAGAACTCTTCTGCTTGAGAACAACCCTCAGTGAAGAGCTGCTTGGGAGGCGCAAAGCTCCCACTGTCTGCAAGATGGGCTCCTGGGTGTTCACATATTAAATGTTTACACTGTTCCACTGCTGTAGAAACTCCTGGCTCTTCCTTTAACAGCCAGGAATGAGGTGGTTCTAGCTCCAGTGGAAGCCAAGGGGGGGAAATGATCCACACAGCGCTTTGCTGTTTCTCATCTGGAGCTGCATCCCTATCCAGTAGCAGTTGGTGAAGGGCCTTGCTCCTTCAGCACTCACCTCTTGAAACCCCTGTTTTTACTGAAGAGTCAATACACTGAAAATCTCCTAGCATTTCCCCTGGGAATCGGGATGAAGCACAAGAGGTAAATCAGCCTTTCTGCAACATTGACCTTGCTCTGAAATGTCTCTAACAGCCAAGGGAAGGGCCCAAGCCCACCACTCATTCCCAGAGCAGGAGGCAGATCTATAGCCCACCCTTCAGCCTCTGGAGAACAACGTCCAAAGCCACAACCCCTGTTCATCCCAGAGCAGAGGCTGGGACAGGAACGCTGTGTGACGCTCCCTCCCGGGTGGCAGCATCGGGCCGAAACCCAAGGCAAGAGACACAGCATGGGAGAGAAATTACACTGGTTCCAGCTGGGTACTGGGGACCAAGAGGTCCTTGCAGCCAAAATGGTTCCAGTATAAACATACACCACCTTTCATCAACGCTGTGCTCTTGTATGGCCATACTGCAACGCAGTTTGGGAGGGCAGAGCATTTCCCTTCCTCATACAAGTTAGGTTGTTGAGCCTGAAGCGAACAAGTGGGTAGTACTAGATCACTGTGTCACATCAGACATCTATTTCCATATGGAAGGTGAAATACTGAGAGGAATAAATAATTCTCCAACACTTGCCAGGCAGAACTGTCCAACTTCCATGGAAAAGCCTAAGGTAAACCGAGTGGAATGGATATAACATCTTTGCCTCTTAAAATCATTGTGGTAATTCTGCATTGGGTGAAAGAGAAGGGAAAGGAAAAAATTTTTCCACACACTCCCCCCCCCCCCCCAAAAAAAAAGAAAAGTTGCTTGAAAGAGTAATTCATGGCAAAGCTCGGTTTATTTAGTGACAGAAATAACCGTAACTTTATACATCTAACACTAAATAAAAACAGCAGAATGTACAGATCAAATTAATTATTTACAGGAATTCACTAGGAATACTTTATAAATGGACACTTCTCGTGAACTCTATTTAAAAAAAAAAATAATCAAATTAAATAATATCATTTGCTTATTTGCAGTCTGACTTCAAATAGATTGCAGTAAAGTAGGGAACATCTTAAATTAAGAGCTGAAATCTAAAGAAAAACATAAGGCAACTTCACCAGTGCAGGAACAGCGAAGCTGAGAGCGACACTCCCTACTGACCTCATGCCCTTCTGAAAAGCTAAGGCACAGCACGTTAGGGAAGGGACCCACAACATTCCCCTCTGATGTTCCTGGCGGAGTCTCCTTTAGGAAACAACCTCTTCTGATCTTCTGTTTGATTTCTGCTTTTAAACGGCAGGCCAACAAGTCAGTTAAAGCATTTTTACAGTGGGTAACAAGGCTCCAAAATTCAGATTCACTTCTCTGTCTTCCATAGGTTGGGAAAATAAATAAATGCACCAAAGATTAGACTGAGGTGCTGGTAATATGCTTTTTGTAAGGTAACACACTAAATATACAAATAATATTCTAGCACTATTTACAGCTATCTTTCCTTGAACATTTCCTCACTTTAGTAATACATAATTATTTGTAAGATACAAACATTGAAGTAATTTTTAATGTTTACCTAGCGCTCTTTTAAATCTTTTTCCATCATAATGCCAGTATTTTAAGTAGGATGGCTATCTCCAGATTCTTGATCGTATAAAAAATTCAAGAGTTACAGCTAGCAGTATTTTATTTTTTTAAAGTATTCATTTTAGTTTTACTCCTTTTCATAATTAGAAAAGAATACAGTTGTAAAGGGCTCCAGGATGTACAACTAACTACGTTACTTCTCTGCAGGATGACCCTGACCTTTGCAATAGTCATCTGCAGATTAATTCAGAGCCCAGGCAGGAACTCAAAATACGTATTGCTTAAAAGATTTTCAACAACTGCTTATCTACATGCTTACAAAGTATAAAAAGAATAGTCCATTCTGTAGCTTAGTAGACAGATACCCAAATAGTTAAATAAGAGGAAAGGTAAAAATACTAATTCAAATGAGATGGTTACTTTGTCACAGATTTTGCTTAAATTTTGTTCAGTGGATCCCTTTCACTGAGTTATATGCATGTAGCTTTACTTATGAAGAGTACTCTGCGATATTATAGGCTTCGGGCTCCTTGGCTATCTTGCTGCTGCAAAGTTGGGAAACATTTGATAATATTATCGACTGACAACAGTTTAAAGAACACAGTTCTGATTGTTCATGTGCATAGCACATGCAGTTACCTCAATGGACATTTTTCTCACTTACAAAAACATCCCAAACAACAACGAAAGAACCCACATCTTGTGCAGATTATGATGTGCACTGTTCATGATATTAAATCAGAGGGATTAAAGCTTGGGCCAAGCATGGCTGTGATTCATGCTTACTCGCAGTAAAACTTAATCAGATTTCCATCTATGTGGTGTAACACCAGAAATTAGCTTGCCCTAGAAGTATTTTCTTACAGCAGCAGTAATAAGGTCTTCTGAAGACTCTGGTATTTTGAGAAAAAAAAAAAAAAATCATTTTTACTTCATACTAATATTTTCATAGTTCTTTATCCTGATATTGCAATGTGTCCCATTTGGGAATTAGCAAGGCTCCTCCTTTCAACATGATACAAGACCACATTGTAACTAGCTGGGCTTCTTTGGGAATATAAATATACAGGAGAAGAAGCGTCCCGTTAGACTTTTTTCATTTAAGAGTTTCTACATCAAATGTACTGCAAAATTAGAAACATCCATCATTAGGTTGCCTGCTTTGGATACGTGCAACGACGCAGGCGATAGCTTCCTTTACGCAGCCAAGCATCGTTAAAGGAAAGGTGGTCGTGCATAGAGGCTGAAGCGAAAGCTCCTCGCTTACAAATAAAAAGCAGTTTGCTTCTGTAAGCAGTCTCCCTGCAGTGGGCTGTCCTCTGGACAACTTAAATTCAAAATCCTGTTGTCCCTTAAAGTACATCAACCCATCTCGGAGAACCACTTCCTCAGACTTCAGTGGACCCCTGCCCATTATCCATAAAAAATTTTACAGTGTTTTGCTGAACTCACCAGCCTGGAATGGGATTCACTAATTGCTGATGGTGTATCTACCCAAAGAAGAAAGCCTCAGATTTTCTGTATGTCCCATGAAGTGCATGCTGCAGGAAGCATTCTACCATCTCCTTGTTTTGAGGAGTAAACAGACAGAATCCAATATAGGTAATTTGCTCATACACTTGACCAAATTTACATAAAAAGTCAAAAAAATGCTACCCACAGCTGTGCATTTTCAGTTTTTAGTGCAGCCTCTATTTCGTTTTCCTTTTTGTTTTTTTAAAAGTTACAGCATGATACTTACTCCATGACACAGAAAACATTATTATTCCATTATTTTTTTTTTGAGTTATCACCAGTGCAGAAATCTTAGTCTTCAAAGCCTTGGCCCACACTGAAGTATTTTAACTTTTTCCCTGTAACGCATGGTGCAGTATGTCATCACCAAGACATTCAGTTCTGGGGATTAACTGTTTGAAAACAGGCATCACTGTAAGCCTCAGAGGCCCAGTTAAATGCTTAGCTCCCAGAGATGGAAAGACCTTCTTGCTTATCTACTCTATTCAGTCTGTCTTTGCTACATGGGCCACCTCTACTTCTACAGTTTCAATGGCCTGTGTCACTTCAGCCATTTTCTGTCCTTGCTGTTGCGCCAATACGTAGTTTACCACCTGCATGATGCTTTGGTCAGAAAGAGTAGAGACTGACGTACATTCCTCAGTAGCTGCAACTGCTTCGATGGCTTCGATCGTCTCTCCTGTCACCACCACGGTCTCAATCTCACCACCACCAACGCTGATCTCCGTTTCTTGTTCCTGCACGTCTGCTGCCAAAATGCTGATGGCGTGCTCCACCTGCGTCCCCTGGTTATGAAACTGAAGAGTATCTTTTTCCAGCATGATTTTGCAGGGTACGTAGTCTCTGTGAAACTTGGTCATGTGCTTCCGCAGCGTCCGGGCATCTATGTAAGCTTCGTTGCACACCGGGCAGACGTAGGGTCGTTCTCCAGTATGTGTCCTCACGTGACGCTTCAAGGAACGCGCATCAGCCCAGGCTACTCCGCAAGTTAGACATTCAAATGGCTTCACACCTGTTCTCAAAGGGAAAGCAAGGAAAGGTGACCATCAGCATTCATAAACGTGATGATGAGAAGTGACAGGGGGAACAGCAGTAGAAAAAGAACAAGAAAAACATGACAACTTTTTCTAAGTAAGGAGGAGACCTTGTTTACCATTTCCGTGCTACAATAGAATGCAAGCATAATACATTCAACGCTAAGACTTTCCCCAAGTGCTCTATTCATTCTAACACTTTACTTTTTAAAAAATTTTTCTTAAAAAATGCCTTTTAATGCAGTTTCTCTCTTATTTTAAGTCCATACCACTTAATTATTTTTGATGATGCCTTTCTGAAACCATGTTTTACTTAATAGAATTTGTCACTGACATTCCTAGTCCCAACTCTGTTTCTGTAAATCTTACTATACAGGTCTCATCAAATCAGCCCTTATTCTAGTTAGCTTCTAACTCCATCTACAACTTTTTCCCTCCTCCTCCACACCTTGTATGTTCAAATACTGCACCTGATGTTTGAATACATCTTATTCTCCCTTACAACGGCTGAGCTCTGTGGTCTGCAGTATCTAATGGGGCGTGTGGGTGGCGACAAACGCTATTTCAATACTGGATTTTCCAGCTACTGTAGATTTAGGCTAGGTACCTATTACAGGACACTTTCTCTGTTTAGAAACAAACACAAAATCTCCATTTCAGTAGTTAGACAGCTCTTAGGTTTATTCATAACAGATCTTTAAAAGGAGACATGCTTCAAAAAAGTGGGTTTTGCCCCAAGACAGGAGTATATACAGACTTCCAACACAGCTGGAACAACCAAATATATATTTACTTATAAAATGTTTTTATATTTTCCCAAAACATCACATAGTTTACTGCTTGTTATAAATCAATAAATTGACCAATTTCCAACAGTGATCCTTTTTTTAAATTCAGGCCAATCACTGTCCTGTTTGAAGAATATTTTGCTAACCATTGCGCCTTTCAATCCAGAGAATATTTTATTACATCCAATTCTTTGCCAGATATACATCTTTTGATCACTTCTAAAAAAGTTCCTCTTCCATTAAAGTTCCGAGAAGGAACTTTACTGTCCCTGCTTGTGACTGCAGTTTTAGACAGAACATCCCAACAGCCACTTCTAGGACTCATTGGAAGCAAGCTGACAAACAAGGACTAGCATAAAACTAACTAGAGAATCTGTAAGAACTTCTATGTGTCTTGCAACACAGGAGATACACAGACCCAAAGAAACAAATACCCCTTTCTCTGTAATGTTTCTAGGAAGTGAGGGATGACTACTTGTTTTCTACATACCTTCATGATTGTTCATGTGTCTCCTGTATTCCCGGAGCTGTGTGAATTTTCTTCCGCAATGCTCACAAACTCGTTCAAGATTTTGTTTTGCTCTTCCTTTTTTACCATGTGTGGCTTTCTTCACATGTCTTCTGTACAAAGCTTTCTCATAAAATTCTTTACCACATATATTACACCTAAAACGTGTTAAGTGAGAAATCTATTGAAACCATTATTCTACGCTTATGCTATGCTTTTGAAACCAAAATGCACTTTAATTATAGCAGGCAGAGCTTAATGGGAGTACTGTCTTGTATGACAAGTAGTTCCATAATTAGAAATAATATTTTTGGACTGACCTGTGTTTTCACTAATTCACAGTCACAAAGCTTCCACATACCACTCTAGAGAAGCGAGATCATACAAAGCACTTCTACCTTCATCAATTACATTTATCAGGACTGTGCCATGAGGTTAACACCATTCAAAGCTACACATCTGTTCTCAAGTACTCAAAATCCCAGTAAACAGCAATCAATCAGTACTTTAACAATGGACCAGGCAGTCAACTGGCTGTGGATCTGTATAACCTCATATTGATCACTACATTTCAGTTGTTAAATGAGTTTCTTCTTACCTATAAGGGTCTGTGACAGAGTGAGACTTCACATGAGAATACCAGTCTTTCTTCCAACTGTAACATTTTCCACAGAACTGGCACTGAAATGGCTTCACACCTAAATGCTTATTCATATGCTGCCGAAGATCTCGAGCTTCATAGAAACTCTTTTCACACCTGTAACAGTTAAGGTTTTAGCATCCCATATAAGAAGGGTCTTGGTGACCCTGATTTCAAAGGCACTGGAACCCTTTTATTTAATGACAACTGAAGACTTTGAGAAGACAACACTTACTCTGTCATCAATATCTATATAAAGCACAATCCCTTCCCAAATGAGGGAAAATTAAAAGGAGCAACAGCTTATCTAGAAGTCTGGAATATAACTTGAGGACCTCTGACACACTTTTGTCTTTTATGGGGAATAATTAAAGGCAAACTAACTGGAAGATATCAGAAATTTGTATTATACCATATGAACTTATGAGGATAGTAACAGCTGTTTCTTCCCTTAACCAGCAAAAAACTCAAGCAACTGCCACCCTCTGACACTGTCATGCACTACTATAATTTAATCGATTGCTTTACTGGAAATCTTCCACAAATGTTTTAGAAAAGTAAGTAATGTTGCACTTTGTTCAACTGGGCCAGAAGCTCAAAGTCAAGCCTGGCAAGGAGTTTTACATACCAAGCCACCAAACTAGAAAACAGAAGTCCGGTTATTGCTTAGTGAAAATTCTAAACCATTTGTGACAACTTGGATTATATTCCTAGTAGAGATCTTCACTGTAGAAGAAACAAGGTCTGTGTCTGTTTTGAAGGAGTTGGGGAATCAAAATATCTTCTCTGTCAAGGTGAACTTTTGCATCCATAACTATACTGTCTTGAGTAAAAAGAAAAAATATTTTAAATATATTTCTCCTTCAAAACCAAAATTGCCTTCCCTAGAATGTTTCATTAAACAGTTCTGTCCCCATCGTGGACCCCATTAGCTCTGTTCTTTGTATTTCTAAGATCGATATTTTTAGCATTACAAAGCACATTGCTGACAGAACTGAAGTGAATTTTCAGCAGTTGCAAAATATTGTTTTTGCTCGCATGCAGCAGCACTACCAGAAATACTTTAAACAATACTTTAGATTAAAGCTTTCATTAAAACCGAGTTGCACACAGACAATCATACAGATTGTACAACCCCTCTTAATACCTGAGATTGCTTTCCAGAGACCTAAATTAACAGTTTGGAAATTAAGCACCATTTGTGCTTTTGCAGGTCACTTGAAAGGTTCTGTAGTCTGCTTGGTCATGGAAAAACTATCCATGTTCTGCTAATGCACTAGGAGACACATTCTTTCCAGTTACAGAGTTTCTGCTAAAGTCCATAATGCAAAGATATTTAAGTGCTCATATAAGTTTTATAATCAAGTTAACTGCAATAGTCAGCAAGTCTTAATTTATGATGTTCCTGCAGAGCTGTTTGTTAAACACAGTGTGTATTGCAGTGCACACAAGCACACTGTAGACTGTAAACGAAATTTTCAAATTAAACTGAAATCAACTATCACAGTAGAAGAGGGCAAGAATAGGCTGAAGGCCCTTTGCTTACCAATCTTCTAGCTGTCCTTCAAGGGAGCTTTAAAAACACATAGCTACTGATTACGGCTACAAGTGCAAACACATTCGTTAGAAATCAGCTGTATGAAACTAGAGCTAGGTAACAGTAAAAAGACAAACTTTTGATCTCCAATGCATATATTAACTAAAGTACATTTTTTAGTCTTATGTTTTAAAAGTCTTATTCCATGCCGTGAACAGCTTTACACTACACCAAGGAGCTGCTTTTAATCTGTAAAATTACTAGGAAAAAAGCCCACCAAAAAGAAACCCAGAACCAACCAACTTACTGAGTACACTGATATCCACGAACTTCAGGCTTTGGCTGGTGTTTCTTTATGTGTTTACTGAGTCCTGATGCCCTGTGGAAAGATTTTCCACAGATGGAGCAGAGATACTTGGATTCTCCTGACAAAACAAAACCAAAACATGTTACGATGCCAGGCCTCCATACCTCTAAAGTGCTTTGAGAGAGAAGTTTTTTCTTCTCATGTAATTTAGCTTAAGTAATCAGAGCTGTGTTACAAAGTGAAGTTGGTTTAACTACACACAGACGGAATTTTTAAGTGTATTTTGGATGTGCCAATGTAATAATACAGAGAGGGGGGAGTAACAACTCTAAATTACTTTATTGCATGTTTTTAAACACAGGTACAACACTGCAGCTACAAATCAGTCATGAAATGTGAACAGCCTAAAAAATTGTCCACAGTTGCCTGTGTTCATATAATATGCAACTTCTCCAGGAATACAGCATTGCTTATGGATGACTTACATCTTGAATTTGTGGAACAGCACCTTAAAATAAAAGTTTTCTGCTCCAATTCAATACAAATTCCTTCATTTCTGGAACAAACTGTCTTAACAAAAACAGTTCCTTTGATTCTGCCCAACTTGTGAAACAAGAAACACAGACCTCTACTCATTACAATTTTAAAACTCTGCTTGTATTGAATTAAAACTCTGTTTGTATTGAATTATTATATTGTCATCTTTCATGTGGTAAGATCAAGAGACCAGTTTTATAAAATTTCAGTATTAGTACAACAAATCTCACAAAACAGATATGGAGATTCGCAGAGATTTAACTTAGCGTCTTTTCCTCTGAAAGGATAGGCTAGAACTGCAAGTGCTTCACAACATTCCAGCCTATTGCCTATCTTTATTGAATTAACACAATACAGGCATAAATACATACTAAGAACCTAGGAACAGACCAACCATGATTTCCTGTTCTTGTATTGAACATTTGCATACTAACATTAAGCTACAGTAAAATAAACCCAGGAAAAAAATGTAAAATGACTACTTACCTCCATTTCAGCTGCCTGATCAGTTAAACAGTAGTTTCTCCTTTTTCTTTATTTTTTTAAACAGTTCCTTTCACATCAAAGAACAATACTGAAGTTCAGCAGCATACAATAGCCGAACAAAATAAAAGAATACTCTTTATCATCTCTTACCTGTGTGAATGCTCATGTGCTCCTGAAGACTTCTTTTTGTGACAAAAGACTTCTCACACAAGTCACACTTGAACTGTTTCTGTACTTCATGGAGAGCTAAGTGCATCTTTAATCCATGCTTATATGTAAAGGTCTTTCCACAAACCTAAAAAAAATATCCGGTTGAATAGAACAAATAAAACTCATTATGTAATAGATGTTTAACTGCAAACACAACAAAACCTCCTGTATTTCTTGGGAACCAGGATGGCCAACCCTGTGATTTCACACCAGTGGCAGAACTGGTCTGTTAAAACAGAATATTCAAGGAAAAGCATTCTTCTAGACACAGGAATATGAACTTTCATGATTCAACTTCATTCTAGTTTTCTTGGTCTTGGACTACAAAAATTTCCATCAGGAATGTTACAGTAGTTTTCCCCATTCTTAAGTGATCTAAATTAACCTAAATTTTAGGACAGAGGGTCACTACTAAAATACCAAGGTAACATTACTAATCTGATTACAGAATAAAAGGACTTTGTCTTTACCTTGCACGCATGTGGTTTTACACCTGTATGTTTGAGCATGTGTATTCTGAGAGAATAGAGCTTAGGTAGAGTTCTTCCACATATATCACATATAAATTCCCGTTTGGTTCTCCCTTTCACCGAAGACACGCCTGTCTCTTCTCCACCAGCAGCTGCAGCGTTCACTTCGGTCTTCCGCGTGTGCCGCACAAGATGGGCTCGCAGGGAGGCGCCGTACTGGAATTCTTTTTTACACAACTGGGAAAGAAAATATTATAGCTTTATTTTGCATTTAATACTCAAAAATTATTTCAAGAAAAGGTAAGTAAAGGTTTTAACTATAGTTAATATGATTAGCAATATCTATAAGCTGACTCCAGTAGGCATTTTATCTCAGGTTAATTAATAGTTGTAAATTTTGAATTCTATGTCTACTGACAGAACCACTGACCACCTCCGAATGAGGCTAACTTCCAGACGAATTTAAACAGTTACAAATTTACTCTAAGTTTGAAAGTAAAGCCCACACCAGCCCTGCTGTGAGCAGCAAGCACACTCCCATGTCACGTGGTGCTGTAAGGCCACATGGCTGCACCACATTCTACCCCACCCCATCCAGATCAGGATTGCATCCACCTCTGAAACCCGTAACGAAAAATAAATAGTTGCACAAACAGAGGCAAGAAAAATAATTACCGATGTCATTACTGAATGAATTTTCATAAAGAGGGAGGTTTACAGACACACAAAAAAATAAAAATCCAACTTACTGGGCACTTATAATCTTTTGATCTTTCATGTTTCAGTGTGTGCATTATAAGCGCATAGCGCCGCTGGAACACCATTCCACACTCAGTGCATTTGTGCTGAGCTTCTACTTCGTTATTTTCCGTGGTCTCTCTTTTGGGCTGTTTCATTTTTTTCCCTCTTTGTACCAGCTTCATGGCAACCTAAGTTGAAAAAGCATAACCCTTGAATGAAATTTACTACACTGTATATTTCCTCTGCAAATTAGTACTAAAAGCTGATGTTTCTGTGTGATACTGTATTACCATCTAATTTTGCTTCATTCACTTAGTTGCTAGAAAGTTACCCTCTTTCAGTTCAATGCAAAACTATGGATCTCATGGTGGTCCTGTTTTAAAACCATAAACTGATTATAATTATAGGCAGACAATGACTTACCAGTTCAGAGACAACTATTCAACCCTAAGTAACTGCTTAAGTGAAAGCTACGAGATAGTTACAGAGGAACCACAAAGAACTGCCAGTCACAGTTCCAATAAAATGTTTCTAACACTTCCCTAAACTCCAATTTTCCTTTTCAAGATTGGGTATCAGAGGGATGGACTGTCTCTCCTACGAAGACAGCCTGAAAGAGCTGTGATTGTTCAGCCTGGAGAAGGCTCTGGCGAGATCCTTATAGCAACCTTCCAGTACTTAAAGGGGGCCTACAGGAAAGGTGGGGAAGGACTCTTTATCAGGGAAAGCAGTGATAGGATGAGGGGTAACATTTTTAAACTGAAAGAGGGGAGTGAAAGAGGGCAGATTTAGATTAAATATTAGGAAGAAATTCTTTACAGTGAGGGTGGTGAGGCACTGGAACAGGTTGCCCAGGGAAGTCGTAGATGCCCCATCCCTGGAGGTGTTCAAGGCCAGGCTGGATGGGGCTTTGAGCAACCTGCTCTAGTGGGAGGTGTCCCTGCCCATGGCAGGGGGGTTGGAATTGGATGATCTTTAAGGTCCCTTCCAACCCAAACCATTCTATGATTTACATTTGCTTTACAACAAAAATCATCACATTAAAAATAAATGTCCTAATTAATTTTTACCAGCCAGCAAAAGCTGAGTTATTAATAACCTGTAAAAAAATTTACAGTATCTAATCAGTTCTTTCTGATTAAGGGCATTCCAGCTTTACTGGTGATTTTTTTTTTTGTTAAGCACTAGTGGTTTTTTGTTAGGCAGTACTCCCTGGAGCTGATAATCTCATTTTCCTTTGTAGAAACTTGCTGTGAAATTCTCTAAAAGCCAAATTGTAAGGGATCAAGTTGCAATTTTCTGTATCAGGTATCTCCCTTTCATGTTTCTGAGAATAAGGTAAGGAGAAAAAGTACAATGTATGCCCATTTCTTCTTCTGTTCTCTCAACAAGTGAGGTATTTAACAGTTTTTGAAAACATGCTAGCCTTTCCATGTCTCTCAAAAACAAACCAAAACTCAACACAGGGACAGCATTTAAATTTTTTTTTAATTTTGCTGTTGCTCTTAAAACTTATGCAAACTTGGCTAAATTGTGAAGCCACAAAAATAATTTTGTTCAGTAGACTATTAGTAAGACTATGGAAAAGAATCCGTTCATACAAATCATAGTTCATCCCAAACATCTCCACATCAACTGCAACTACTGTAATTTAGTGGTCGGCAGCATTTTTCCTCAAACTCTCTTTCCTGTTATTCTTCCAGCACCAAAACTGGGAACTCAGGAAGAAGTGTCTCCTTCCCAGTGTTTATACAACATCCAGTGTTTTGTGGGGAGGAGCCGAGACAAAAATGCAAAAAGCTATGAAATGAGTTAGGAAAGCAGAAACCTATTACTGAATCCAATTCTGAGCAATTATCTACACCAATTTATTTTTTCCATAGGTGGCCACTGTCCACAGGCCTCACCTGTCAATGGGCCAGATTTAAAAACTGCAAAATAAGTTAACAAGAGCTGTTCCTGAAAGTAGATATTCTCCCTCCCAAAAGAGAACAAAAACTTGTAATTCTCCAACCATCATAAAGAAGATGCTCAAATATTTTGATTGTGCTAGTTTTAACATCTGGGCTTCAAGTTGTCCATCTGTAAAAGGAGACAAATGCTACAGTTTTTATCTGCAAGGGTGTTGTAATGGTAACAAATTATCTCCCTGGCCTGTGGGATTGATGGCTCTAGTGTGTAAACATCTCACGGAACATCTCTGGAAATTAACAGTTCTTCATAAGCTTTAGACAATGTGGAATGAGTAAAGGAAAGTGTACTCAAAACCAAAATGTATTAATGCCCATTGAGGCAAACGTCAGCTATCCATAGGCACTTCAAGAGGAAAGGCTCCTGAAGGGCAAAGAGTAAGACGACTATTTCATTAGGAAAAAATAATAATTGAACCAACAAATTCAATTACTAAACATGTAACATGTCTGAGTGCTTGAATTTTTAATACCAGTGCTCTTTGAACCTGTCTTTTTTTTAACTGGCCCCAGTCTGAAGGTAGCAGGACTTCATTACTGCGACTCACGACTGTGTCTTAAGATCTACATAGGATGTCAAATTTTTCATCCCCAGTGCTCTGCTTTCAAGTTTTAACAAGTGCAGGGTCTCACTTCTCTAACAGATAAATACATTTGTCTATGACTGACATACACACATGCTAGTTAAGAATTAAATTCCCACATCATTAATAACTTTAGGGAGAAGATACACCTTCTGTCCAACCATTAGAAGCTGTGAGGAGATACTCAAGCTGGGCTAAAGTCACTGAGCATTCTAAAGATCTTCAACATGGAAGGAATTTTGACGCCAATGTTGTTTTTTTGTTTAGCACAACTGTCACACCTTAGAAGTTACTTTGGTTTGCAGTAACCATAATCGCTCAAAAAAGAAAAACATTTGCCAGACAGTGCTTGGAATCAGGAAACTGTCTTTTCAGATTGGCCTCAAAACACTGGACGAGTACTGACAACAGGCCTAAAGACATATAGAATACCTGCTGTATTGCAGATTTAGGATTTGTCTTTCTATTTTGCAGTTTTTTTTCAATTCCTTTATGCAATCTGATATATCCCCCTTCACTAACAGAACGCTGGCGAAGCTTGCTCTTGTAAGTGTCATCTTGGCTGGAAGCTAGGCTTTCTGGTTGTGAAACTGAAACGCTCTGTTCTTTACTTTGCCTGCCACGTTTTTGCTGGAGTGTTTCTGAGGAGTCTTCAGAAGCAGTGTCCACATTTGCTTTACCACTGTCATTTTGATCTGTCCCAACTTCTGTGTGACTTTGTGTGTCCAAGGCTTCCGCAGCCAATGGCTCAGCCTCCACAACAGACACGGTGTTATTTGAAATGCTCTCCACTAGCTGCATCTTGACGCAATTTTCAGTTGTTTCACCCTGCTCCACAGGCTTTGAAAGGTCACCCGGAGTGGCTTCTACAGGCTCTGGGGGCAGGAGGTCAGGCTGGGGTGCTGCTGCCTCCTCTATCCCAGCAGAGGAAGGGGCTCCATTCACAGCTACTGGCACTTCACCAGCTGCGAGCTCAGGTTGCTCAGCACCATCCACAGGCTGCGTCGCGACTTCAGCCTGCTGTGCTAAATTCTGTGTTGACTCGACTGTTTGAATATCTCCCTTTTGGTACACCGTAATTTGTTTGTCTTCCATCTGTTTGTGCACATTTTCACAGATTTCGATGACCTCTGACATGAAGAGATGCCGAGCAAGCATGGCCACTTCTGCCATACTACAGAAGTCAAAAGTTAACTCTGAAGTATAAGCAAATTCCAATAGAGGCAGGAAACTGGACTTGCAGAACCCTACCAGGAATAAAACAAGAGATTAGAGCAAACACTGATGACCCCAAATTACACCAAAATACCCCATGATGGATACAACAGTTCACCTTTGATATGGTTAAGTCTGAAGTTTAGAGCAAAGCACGATTGCAAGTAACACTGAAGCCCCTCCACTGGGTCTCAATTAATTGTCATTTATGCAAAAGCATCTTCCTTGTGTATTTTCTAAGTGGAAGCAAGCTCAGACAACTTTTCCAATAAGTAAGTAGAACAGGGGTATTTTCACAATAAAATTCTCTAGAGGAATGTTTCAAGATGCTGGAGAGCCACAATATTTTTGAAACAGATTAACCCTATTTTAACCAAAGTCTTTCTGAATCTGCTATGTTCAGAAAGTAGTCTGAGTAACAGAAAGTAGACTTAAATAACAACTGATGCAGCAGAAAAATAAGAAAGTGGCTAATAAAAAAGTATGTATACATATATTAAAAAATGCTTAAAAATAAGCATTTGGTATCATTTTCCAGAGTTCTGTAAATCAAATATTTAATTTGGGGGATCTTCTGGACCATCATACTAGAAATCTTCATGCATGTCTATTGTTCATGTAGAGACAAACACAGTTGAGAAATTAATGAGAAAGCAACATAGTAGGCATATGTTCTGTACAATATTCTTCATCACTTCAAAGCTATTTTTAGAACATTTATTTTAGGATCTTTTCCTATCTTTAAGGTACCAGAAGGTTTGAGAAATAAGCAGAAACATGTATAATAGTGTTTACAGACATAAGAAACAATTTAGTATTTGATCAGCAAAACAGCTCTCCAAGAAGCTAGTCAACATCCTCTCTTGATGCATTCAAGCATTTGATTATGTTCCCTTTTTTAACATTTGTGACTAATACAAGGAGAAAACAGGCCTAAGCAAGGTAAAAATCAGCTACGACTCAGAAATTTTAAGATGAAATCCCATAGTCCATTCAATATGGAAGATCAGATTTTGCAAAACCAGAGTGATCACTTTAGCATTAAAATCCACAAAAAATACTTTTAGATTAAAAGAGAGAAAAAGGCAAGATAAAATATTTGGTTGTCCTGAACACCAAAAAAAGACTGAATCAAATACTGTACACCTTACTTAGGATATTATGATATCTAGCTTTGAAACCCACAACAATTCACCTGACAGATCCACTACAGCTTCATGACTAGAGACAGCTCCCTTTTCAATGAAGAGCTCTCGGAAGTATTCGCTGTTGGCTGCCAAGACAGATTTGTGAGCTTTGTACTCCTCTCCTTCAATCAGCAGAGTCACATCACAGAACTGATTGGAAAGCCTCTGCTGATTCAGTTGGTTTAAGACTGACAGACAATGTTTGGAAGATGACTGCTTCACAAGGCCCTTACTGTCAACCTGTCGTAAACAACATCATGAGAACTTCATTACATTTAGACTGTGCCTTTTTAAGCATTCACACTGAAACAAAGAAAAGGATTATTTTCTGCAATTCAGTACAACCAGTTCAAGCCTGTATAACATACAGCTTAACTTTACTATTACATTCTTTCTTTAAATGCGCCAAGTTTCACCCTCCCTCCAAACACAGTTAAAACAGACAACTGCAAAAACAGGAAGACACGGATACGCAAGCAGTTCTTTGACCGTATTTTTCAATGCTAGAATCTGAAACAGTTTCTAGATTCACGTGTCTTTACATGCGTATGAGCCCCCAGTTATCACCAAGAATTTTATATATAACTATAGCATAATTTATTAAGGAACAGATACAGATTCCATGAGAATCTTGTATGTGATGCTTTACTACTTATACTTTTGCCATTCGTTTTCCCTTGGGTCCTATATGCATAAATAGAAGTTGGGGTACTTTATTTTCCAAAAAATGACATACTACAATTAATTTTGTGTTATATATACCAGTAACCCCTTTCCACATATTGAATATATTTGGCAAAATTTATGTCATCAAATTATTGCAAGATTATCACAACAATGGAAAATAAGCATGTGACTAAGAACACACTAACAAATATCTTAAATACATTCAAATGTCAACAATGGTACTTACAAACACAAGCTCATGCTTCGCTATTGGCTTCTTCTTCACAGGCTTTGGGGATGCAGCTGGGATTGATGCCGTATTACTCAATTCATCATCTGTTTCATTACTATCTTCATGAGATTTTGCATCCAGTCCTAGTTCCTCCAGCATTTCAGAAGGATCTGACAGAGATCTAGAGCGATCTAGCTTTTCCTGGCACTTGCTGCATTCTTTAATGTAATCTTTAACCTGCTTAAGAATACCTAAAAAAAGATAATGGAGCTTAGTTAGGCTTGTAATCTTCTCTCAACTTGCCTTAAACATGTAACTAAACATGTAGGTGATTAGCAAAACAATATTAAACACGTAGTGAGAAAAATTAAGTCAGTCACCTACATTTTCTTTCTCTGACTTTTTACCAGTTCTGCTTCTCTCACAGTATTGTATGATGCTGTATGTCATTACTGTAATCCATCATTGAGATAGAACATTTGGAACATCACTATATCAAGCAGACCCTCCTAGAAAGATTTTTAAGGCTAGAAAAAAATATTTTTATTTCTACATTCACCCTAAGAATCCCAATACAATGAAAGCTGTAACCTGATCCTGCATTTAGCCCACACAAGTGGATCTTAGCTTGTCCTTACCCAAGGGGACAAGAATTGGAAGGCTCACCTAAGGGCTTTTCCAAAATTGGGACCAACTGTGCTACATGCAATGATGCTCAATACATATTATTAACACCGATTTAAATCACTTGCTTATTATGATTTTGGAATTTAGCTAAATTAATTTCCCACTGGTACTTTAACCAGTGTAACTAAATAATTTTAGATAACCAAGCCATCTAAACTGGTCCTCTTCTAGGTACCAAGGCATTTAAAGTGTATGGCTTTCAACCCAAATTAATTTTCTTCACTAGGACAATATAAAAGCATAGACAACAGCAGCCATGTCTCTATAGTTCAAAAGTTGGTACATGTTAAAAAACTTGGCTGAGACAGAGTTAGACTTTCACTGCTCACACCTTTTCAGAGCATGAGATGCACTATCATTACATACATATCTCTGTAAGGATCAGGAAAACACAGACTTCAGGCATCCCAAGTTATTCATGCCCATTTCAAACATTTTTACTTTTCCTTGATTTCAAACCAGGGTTAGTTCTCAGGACAGAAGGGCTCTGGTCTTCAAATCACATATCTAACAGCTTCCAGGTCACTGGGCCATACTCCAGCCCATTGCTTCCCAGTTACAGAGCAGACAGGCACAACAGACTGGCACCCATCTCAGCTAAGAACAGTATTATAATGGCAGGGGAAACCAATGTTTTCAAGGAGACATAAATAAGAAACAAAATGCTTGAACTGAAAGCAGGGCATGAATTTTAGTATGTTGAGTACAAGAGAAATAAGTAAATATAAGTTGTGCAAATAAAGATAACCAATAAGATCAAAAGATGCAGAATACAGAATGCCCTCTTCTGATGAACAGAAGATATACTGAGGCCATTAAGGAAGTTTCCAGCATAGGATGACAGTAGACAGAACAGTCCAATATCAGGCAAATTATGAGAACCCAGATAAAGACTAGAAGAACATAATCCAGAATGGATGTATCAACTTTGAGACACCAAATCCTTTTTCACATCAAAGATCTTCAAGTCAACGAGATCTGGACTGGAAGGATGGGCTGCAGCTAGAGCAAAAAGTCTCCAAATTAAGATAAGGAAAACTCAAGTTGAAATGACAGACGCGCTGACTGATGGACCAAAAAGAGCAGAACAAGAGAAGCAATATAAACAGAAACTAGGCCCTGGGCAAGTGAAAAGCAGGATATTTGTTTAATGGATACATAAGGCTAAAAGTAGAACGCCAGATCCAAAGGGAACACAGAACCAAGTCACTGGCTCAGCCACAAGAAGGCCCCGACTGGCAATGATTGCTGTTCACAGACTACCACTTCTCACAGCTGTGACATCACTCAGGGCCCAGCTGAGAAGTGATTCTGTGAGAATTAGTCTGGTCTCTTGGAAGAAAGAGACAAATATAACAATAACTGCACCAAGGACTAGGAACCATCACTGGCAGCTCTACTATTTAAGCGTGACCACCACCCACGTGCTAGCTGGAAATGGCATTACAAGGTTAAAAGCTGAACTGGGTCATATGGGATGGATTATCGCCCTGTACGAAGTGCAGAAATTGAGAAACCGCTACAGTGCACGCAACATGTTTCCGCACAGATTCAAAATACCGCCCGTGAATAGGAAGCCACAGGGCAAGCCACTGACCGAGGTGTAACTCGCACAGCGAGGCCTCGCCTCCCAAGGAGCGACCAGCCTCCAGAAGAAGCGCCGCGCTCGGAGATGGGCGTGTTGAACGGCACCCGTCCGTCAGCACAAGCGAGAAGTCCCCTCCTGCTTCCTCCCGGGATGCGACACAGCCGCCCCCCCCGGGAAACCCGACCGCGGGGTGGGGAGCGGCGACCCCGGCTCCCCCAACCGCCTTCTCCCCCGCCTCGGCGCGGCTCCTCCTCCCCCCCGGTGACCGGCCGGACCCTTCCCTCTCTCTCCCCCCTTGCCGCTCACCTCGCCACCAGTACTTCTGGGACAGCCCCTGCCAGGTCTGCAGCCGGGTGCGGTGGGCGCCGTCGGGCCCCAGGTGCGCGGCGCGGATGAGGCGGGCGCGGCGCTCGGCCTGCAGCACCACCTCGAGCTCGGCGAAGCGCTGCTGGTCCCGCTGCCGCCGCTGGTAGTAGAGGGTGCCGCCGCGCACCACGTAGCAGGCGGCGGCTTTGCGGATCTTCCGCTTGGCGTTACCCTCCGTCCCCGGCGCGTAGGGCTCCCGCTCGTTGGTCAGGTAGCGCAGGATGGCCAGGTAGCTCTCCTCGCTGGACATGGCGGGGCAGGGGGAGGAGGAGGACGGGGAGGGGGTGAAGGGGCAGCCTCCCGGGCTTCGCGCCGGGCTTCCCCCGCCTCGCCGCCGGGCGAGGGCAGGGTGCTGGGCACGCCGCTCCGGGAGAGCGGGCGAAGGGTCAGGCTGTCGCCCCCGGGGCGGAGGCGGCTGCGGGGCAGCGTCTCCAGACGGGACGGGGCGCGCCCGCGGCAGTCACATGCGGCGGGACCGGGAGCGGGGAGGAGAGGGGCCCCGGCCCCAGGCCCGGGGGGGAACTGGAGTTTCGCAGCCAGCGGCGGCGGGTGGGAGGGAGAAGCTCGGGCAGCAGCAGCAACGGAAAGACAAAATGGCTGCTGCACAAGAGGAAGTGAGGTCAGAAGCCTGCGCGCAGGGGAGGGGCAGCTGGTGAGTGGGGAGGGACAAAGCCGCCATCTTGGAAGCGGGCAAGGGAGAGGCCGGGCGGAAGGTTGGGGCGGCCATCTTGGAACCGGGCAAAACCTGTGAGGGGGCCGGGCACAGCCATGGCGCTGGAAGGGGACGCCCATCAGTAAGTAGACTTTATTGCCCTCGCTCCGAAACGAGCAGCCTCCGTTTCAAAATTGCCTCGGGAGTAGGAGTTACGAGAAAACTAGAGGTGTGTTTTCCTGTTGCAGCACCAGCACAGCAGTTAGGGGCAGCACAGGCAGAGTGGCACAGCAGCTACATCTCCAGGCATTGAGTATGCCCTTTTCTTTTGGTTGTAAAAGGAAGGAAAATCTTTTGAACGTCAACTGCTGGTTTTCCTTGTCTGAGTTCTCGCCCAATTTTGTTTTACACCCATAACAGAGACACAAAATGCAGGAGCCGCGGGGTGCCTGTGCCCAGCCGTGACCCCTTCCCCTCTGCTTAGTGCTCGCAAGGGGCATCTGGGGTACTGTGATCCCCCCAAATACTGACTGGATGGAGTGAGTCTGGCAGAAGGCTGTAAAGATGGTCAGGAGTCAGAGCTTGAGGGACAAGGCGAGGCTGAGAGGTGTGCTTGTTCGACCTTAAAAAGGGAAGGCTTGGTGAGGGCCTTGCTGCTGTCCGCAGCTACCTCACCAGAGGATACAGAGAAGATAAAGGCAAACTCTTCTCGGAGTTTCATAGCAATAGGCAACACACACAGGTTACAATACAGGAAATTCTAGTTCTAGATAAGCATTTCTAAATACTTTTTTTTTTTTCCTAAAAAAATCCCAAACCAATGGTAGTGGTCACATACCGGAACAGGTTGCCTGGAGAGGTTGTGGAACCTCTGTCTTTGGAGTTGTTCACAACTCAGCTGGATGCAGCCCTGAGCAACCTGATCTAAATAGCCATGCTCTGAGGAAGGGCTTGGACTGCATGACATCTGAAGGTCCTTTTCAACATCAGTTATTGTGTGGGTCTATGAAAAATTTAAGTATTCCATTTTTAGTGATATTTAATAGAGCATCAATTATGTTACATGAGGTAAACACAAGGTATTTAAGGTACTAATTTCAGTGTTAATTCATTGCATTCTATCTGTATTTGAGCCGAATAATGTGCAGTTACACCAGGCTAACACCCTGCTCTAAACAGCCTGCCTCACTCACTTCAAGCATAGCTTGTGAGAGGAGAAACCTGTTGGGCTGTTACTTTTTACTCCTGACTCACCGTATCAGTCAGAACTCACAAATAAGCCACAAGGAAGAGTAATCTTAAAGCATTTCTGTGCACTTCTGCAATAACAGCAGGCACCTGAAGCCTGCAAACTTCTAAGCATTAACAAATACTGATTTACTAATAGTCATATCTGACAATCCATTCCTATATATCATTAATGGTATTTCAAGCAATTGTAAGAGCTCTTTACTTTCAGCTTTTCAGCTAAAACTTTGACAAGCAGTGTACCAGCTGATTGATACAAGACACTGATACAATTAGGATTTTATATAGTTGTCACTAGCATGTCAGTGGAGTTTTCAGCCTTCAGTTTTAAATGTTTAAAAATTCCTTTCTCTATAATACCAAGCAGTTTTCCTTGCCTTCTTTCCCCCTCCTGTTTCTGGCAGCTTCACTTTCAAGTGTGTTAACCATTTAAAAGTCTTCAATTTAATTCTAAACCTGAGTAGCTCCTATGGTTTGGATGGGTTTGTTTGGTTTTTTTTTTTTAATAGCAAAATGCACAATTGTTTGGGAGATGATGGTCCAAATTCCACTGATGTAACCAAGCTAAACCTATTCCAAAAGGGTTGCAACCTTGATCCAGACCTGTATCTATTTCATTAATAAACCCAAAACAAAGTATGATGTAACTCAAAACATAACCCCTAACCTAAATTGTCCATTACAGCTGTTGTGCTTTTGAAGAGTAAAAGAACTGCAGGAAGCAAAACTGTGAAAGACAGCTGCTTTCTTGACTTGCATAGTAAGGTAACAAAGCAAACCCTCAATGCTCCTCAAAGTTAACAGGCATTAAGACGTGGCATCTTGAGATGTTTCTAACCTAGAAAACAGGGAAGTCAGAAGACATTGCTTTGCCAAGGCTATCGCTGTCCATCAGAACTATGGGACAGTTTGGGCACACTGTCTACATAGTGGGATTACTAAAGTAGACAGATGAATACATGAAGAATTTAGCAAATAAAGCTCCCTCTTGGCAGAGGGTGGGGAGTTACTAAGGAAACCTCACCTGCATTCTGCAAGTTAAATATGAAACTAAATGGGCTTGAAGTAAATGTATTCCACCAGCTGCATTTGAAGTTCATTCAACATTTACCAGTGTTGCAAGTGCTGCTGCTGAGATCGTAACTGCAGAAGAATGGTCATATTGGGTCAGGAAACCCATTTAGCTTAGTGAATGAGTACAAGGCAGGACCTTTACAGCCATCCTTTTCCTCAGAACAGTCTCCAGGAATCCTGACCCACAAGTTGCATCTGAACCTTTGCGTGCAGCAGCCATGCAGTCCGTGAAATCATTCATGCCTTTTTTTCAATGTACTTCTCCTTTTATCCTCTATAACATATTACTACATGCATTCCTTTTAAGTCACTTACAGATGTGTACCCTTTTGTTTGCATCTCTGAACTTAGAAACCTCTTTTTATGCCATTTGACATCGATGCGGAATAAACTTGTACTCGTGTGCTATTTTATCCTTCAGGCAAGAACAGCTTCTCAAACACCAGCTCCGTCTTTCCTGCTACCTGGGATATTCATTAAGACTTGCAAAGTGTGTGCTAATACTGCAGATTGTCTACAAAATGAAATGTTTCATGGCAAGAGGATCTTTTTCAGTCTGCAAAACCACACATGGTTATTTCATACATCAATGCTCTTCAGTTTATCTCCCACAGTTGAAGATAACACGGCACAAGTTACGAAGGTTAGTCAGACATTTATTCAGCATGAACCAACAGGTTGGCAAGTTAGCGCTTCCCACCAACACGGGGAGCAGAAACCTTGACTGGTTTCACAATCTTCTGCTTTGGTGCTGCCTTTGTAGGAGCCTGTAGAGAAATAATAAAAGCATGAGCACCGAGAAGCAATTTATCTGCAGTCCTGAAAGCGTCCCTGTGTATTTAAGATTCTTGACAGAAATCAGGCAATTTGAATCAGATCAGGTTAGAATTACAATATATCACATTAGAATCATGTTACCAGGTTGTTACACACATCACAGTGAGCTGACAACATGGCATGTTGACATGTCAGTAAGCTGACAACAACGGTATGATGCCAACATATGGTATTAACTAATAATAAGTAACGATAAAATAGATGCTAGCATTCATCAATATATTTTTACCAGGTTCCTAGATAGTGAAGATGTCACATCCAGACAAGTTTTTAGTTATCAATAACCTCTGACATATGGTCAGAAAGTTGTTTTACTGTAATATTTATTTCTTCAATAAAAAAAAAAAGGTTAATTCCATTCAGCTGTTTCAGTATGTTTAACTTTTGTACTAAAGTTTGGTTGAGGTGCTTCCAGATCAAAATACATAAGCAAACACAAATGCTTCTTCCAAACAAAAATGGGAATTTCCAACTAAGCACTGCAACAGAATCTTGTGTTACAACACGGTATATCCCATTTCATGACTTCTATCCCCCTATTGCAGCTTACCTTTGCAGCAGAAACAGCTGTTTTCTTAGTTGCCTGCTTAGCCTTCTTGGCTTCTTTTGCAGCCCTGTGAATTCACCGAAAAAAGGGTAACAGTTATTTGTGTCTGCCATTCACTGTTTGTTTGTCTCACCATTATAAGAACTCCAGAAGATCAAGAAAGGAATGCAGTACTTCAGGTTTATCCTCTGCAGTCAGTACTCTCTAGGGAGACTGCTACAGAGACAGCAGAACTGTGTGTGACAAAAGCAGTATTTTCACAAAAAGCGAGGGCAAGAAGAGACCCTTTGCTGCAGCTGCTCTCTCTTGCTGAGGTTACTCAGTATTAACTCCAAATACACTGATAGAAAAAAAATAACAAGCCCATCTAAAGAAGCTTATAAACCACAGAGCTCCTCTAGAGTTTCATGCATGAAAACCATTAATAAACTTTGAAAAGCCTGGGGTAGCTCTGGTTATCTCCGATTTCTCACCTAATAGCTTGTTCCCTCTGCGCCTTTCGTACTTCAGGCTTCTGATTTCGTTTAGCCATAATCTCAGCTAAAGATGCACCAGTGATAGCTCTCTGGAACTTAACAGCACGACGTGTACGCTTCTTTTGTACCTCTTCCTAAAATGGCAGAAGATGAAGACAGACAATCAGTATCACAAGACATTAAATAAAAGGCTAAAGACATTTATAGAAACAAGCTGCTATTAAGATTGAAGCTATTGAAAAACTGTATACAGAGATAGAATTTTACCCGTCACTTTGGAGGTAACTGAATTCTTGATTTGCCAAAGCAGATGAATAGCTAAAAAAGAACAATGCATTCTCCTTTGCAAGGCATAAATAAAGTTGTTTTGGAACAATGTCAGAAACTCAGCCTTCTGTAACGCCCAGAAAAAAATAGGAGGGAGGGATAAGAGTCCACTTTAACTGAATGTTCTGAAAGCAAGACACTTCCCAGCTGTTTGGAGCACGATCATGGTGCTGGGCAGCAGTGTAAGCCATCGAGCATCAACCTTCCTTCTCCAAACCATCTAATAAAAACACTGACTTGTAACACATATGTAAACCTTTTGAAACGCTCTTTTGCTGTGCAAGTTTAGGAAGGAACACTGAAAATACCTCATGCTGCATGCCTTATTAATTTATCTTTCTCATGCAATGACAGCTACATAGAAAAGACCTCCTACTACTAAGTTGCTGCCCAAAGGTTAAGAAGGGTTCCCGCACCCGTTAACCCCTAAACCATCTGTTTGGAAATACAATCCACAAGTTTTTCAGCTCTCTATGCTGTCACCATTCAGGAAGTGGACAAGTCCAAACTTTTAGAGAGTCTACACATTAAACAGCATTACCCACCTTCTGTAAAACTATTTTTTAAAAACATACACCATTCATACAAGTGTTAAAATCAACTGAACTTACTGTGGTTCTGAGTGAGCCCTCAAAGAAGTGAAATAATACAAATACAAATGCTTTTGCTGAAGTGGTTAGCTTTCAAACATAAAGCAACATATAAACTCATGTAAATGCACTCACATTATTGGCCAGTCTTCATCCTGGTTATATGGGTCATGCTTCTGCTAAACGCCAACAAGTTACCTCTATTCTAACAGATCCTATCTTTTGATGGAAAACTATAGAGCAGCTTTAGTTAGTATATACTTACTGACTGTCCTTTCTTGTGTTTACGCCTGTACAGAACAGTCCAGTTGATCTGACGGGGGTTTCTCTTGGAAAGGAATGCAGACTCACATTTTGCATTCAAGAACTGAAAAACCTGGGAAAGCAAAGTATTTTGTGAAAGCTTTGTTTCTATGAAAGACATTATTACGGTTTACATTAACCTATCAAGTAATCCAGTGTTTTTCAGCAGTGATGCTTTTGTATTTCTTTACACAGCTCCAACAACCCAAAATTTTAGAACAGAATGTAACAGATTTAGTTTGGAATTTTTTGCCGTTGATTAAACTGATGTCTTACAAGGCATTTCATTATAAGGAATTTTCCAGGCCTAATGTTAAAGTTTTTTGTTTTCGTAACACAATGAAGCAGCTTATTTTTTTTTTCTGAGGAAAGCTGGAATTACTACTTGCATCTACTGCTGTGCTCAATTCTAGGCGTAGCAGCAACAGCCATACCCATACTTGTCAAGCGCCTGGCCTCAAGTAACCATGTGTTTCCTGTGTAAGCCAGGCAGAACTTGGAATAAGGAGTACGTGGAAACCAGTATACTACCCAATTCCTTCTTAATGTAGTTACACAAACTTTCTTGCCTAGAATAACAGGCAGAATTGGCAGGCTGATTTATTATAAGCCATACAATTAAATTTGAAGTATAAACACACTCCCAGGAGAGCACCTGAGGATTCTATCAGTCTTTTTACTTAACTATCATTTCCCAGGTGACTCTGTACAGCGAGACTACCGTACTGAGATGTCCAAAACCCAAACCCTCCTTTGGTAGATAGGAATAGCAAATTTTTATTTATGACAATCCTGTCTCTATAAGATACGAGAGCCTGAGAGAGTTCTCCTCCCAATTTAATCCCACTGATCCATACCCAAATTATTTGAAAGTCCAGCTGTTTGCTTCGGCAAGTCTCAGCATTAAATGCAGTACATCTAAATAGCGTTTTCTACAGAACTTTGGCAATTTTACTATGAGGGTGGTGAGACACTGGAACAGGTTGCCCAGGGAAGCTGTGGATGCCCCATCCCTGGAAGTGTTCAAGGCCAGGCTGGATGTGGCCCTGCTCTAGTGGGAGGTGTCCCTGCCCACGGCAGGGGGGTTGGAACTAGATGATCTTTGAGGTCCCTTCCAACCCAAACCATTCTATGATTCCATGAATTCGGATTAGATGCTTTAAGCCGCCCTCCCCAGAACACAACCTAAATCCCGCCTCAACACCCCTGACTACAGCACAAGCAGGGCTCTCCCGCAGCCCAGGCCTGACACCCGGGCACCCACGGAAGCTCAGCAGTGCTATTCCCGGAGCGCCCGGTCAGGCCACGGCGACAACAACCCCACTGCCTTCCCCACCGCGCCTCCCAGGCCAGGCCTTCGCTTCGCCCGGCGCCGCGCCGGCCTCCCCCTCAGGCCTACCGCCCTCCCGCTCCCGCCGGCCCCGCTCCCGCCCGCCCCGGCCTCACCTTGCCGTCAGTGCGGGCGTAGCGGCGCCCATGGCCCGGGTAGATCTTGTACCCGCTGAAGCTGCACAGCTCGACCCTGCGCGGGAGAGAAGCGTTAGCGGGGAGGCAGTGGGATAGGGGAGGAAGAAGACGCGACCCTCCGGCGGCCGCCCTGCGGCGGATGGCGCCGGATGGCGCGGCGGGGAGGCCGCCGGGGCCCTTACTTCATGATGGCGGCGGCGACTCCGAGGCGGGCGGCGGCCGGGGCCGAGAGGAAGAGACGGTGACGCGAAGCTGGACTTCCGTGCGCCGCGCGCAGCACGCCGGGAGGGCCCCCGCCGCGCAGGGGCTGACGGGAGGGGAGCGGGAGGGTAGCGGCTGCCCGGCCGGAGGGGCGGCGGGCGGACGGGGGTCCTGACGGGAGCGTTCACACCGGCCGGGCTTTACCGCTGTCCGGCTCAAATTCCGCCGGGCCGCCCCGTGCGCGAGACTTGCCATCTTACCGAGAACAAAAGGCACGGTTTTCCCGCCCAGCCTTCGGTTGCCTGGTAGCGTCGGCAAGCGGGAATCATGGCGGCGACGGCGGTTGCGGGCAGGACGGAGGCTGTCTCCCCGGCTGGAGGCGGTAAGGGAAGCGCCGAACTCAGTGGGCCTTCTGGGGAGCGCGCGGCCGGGATGCCGTTGCCGGGGGCCGGTGGGGGTTTTGTTTGGGTCTCCGTTGTGTGCCGCGGGGGGCGCGCAGCGCACCCTGGGAGCTGTAGTGCGAGCCGGACCGCGCGTCAGTGACTGGCGCGGGGTTTGGACTACAAATCCCGACAGCCCTTGCGGCCCGCGATGTGGGGCGCGGGGCTGGGGGCTCGGCTGTTCCCCTTTACGTGTTTTTGCTCGCTTATGGCCGGCACCTGAGGGCCCCAAGGGGCGCTGGAAGCGGTCGGGACAGCCCGCTCTAAGGAGGGGGGATCGCCGCCTAGCAACGGGGTTGGCTCTGGGCACGGGCGGAGGGGGCTGTCCTCCTGAGGCCCGGGCCCCTAAGGAGGGATTTGCCCGCAGCCTTGTAGAAGGTAGGCCGAGAGCTGATATAAGGCCCCTTCTTCCTGCGGCGGAGGGCAGAAAGGTCTTTGGGAGACCTCACCTCCTCTGAGGATGTGGGTTTCTTGCCCCCCCCCCAACGTCTGAGAGGACGATGAGGTATAATATTGTAAGTCCGGCTTTGAAGGCTTAAAGGCTCTGTGAGTGAGCAGAACCTTAAGGAAGAATTGTGAGCTTCCGAGGTCTATTAATGTATGTAGCTGCTAAATGAGTAAGAAGCAATTCTGAAACATTTTCTTGAGTACTGACAGCCTGTTAGGAAAATCTCATTCCCAAAGTATTATACCAATGAGTCTTTATAGTATAAAATTGTATTAACTTTCTTAAGATATATATGTATTTTTCATACTGTATACTGAATAGTCATGCTTAAGCGAGCAAACTAAAGGACCCCAGCTTGTCATAAGGAGGAGAAGGACAGACCCCCTTGTAATTCTGTGCTGTGGGTTCTAGCCTCTCTCTCCTCGGTTAGCATAGGCCACTGGCGAATTTTCATAACACGAGCTCAGATAAATAGGCAGATGCAAAATTTTTCTGTTTAGTTAAAATGACCAAGTGGTTGCAGAGGTGGCTACTTAAGTTAGAAACATGCAGTACCTTCTTGCTGAACGTGCAAAGACAGGAGTGTAACTGTTTCTGGTACTGCTCACTCTTCATTGCTGTTCTTCAGAGCTCTTTGGGTGGCTGTGAATTTGAGAAGTAATGGAAATGTAATAAATGTCATCAGAGAAGCTTCTTAGAAGAGCGTATTCTCTAGTTGACAAAATGGTACACCAAAAATGTTTCCTCCAACTGTATCATAGCTAAACCCTAAAAGCCTGCAAACTGTAAGAATATTAATATATAGTGCATGTTAGTGTGAGAACACTATTCTGCTGCAAAAGGCAACATTATTTACTGAGCAGATAGTAAGGTAAGAGCAAGCACTAGAACGGTGTATATGTGTAAAACACACAGCAGAGGCTTAATTTATGAGAATTATTATTAGCAGGTGTCAGTGTGGGTATCAGTGATTCAAGTTCTCTGTAGACAGCAAATGTTTTCCTTTTTATTTTATATAGTAACAGTTTTTGCATGGAACACTTTAACTGTGTGTTCCAATATTAAATTATATGCTAGCCTAGTTCCAATTTGCTCCTGCCCAAATATCACCAGCACCGTAGCATGTCTATATGAGTGGGTTCTTTGTTCTGACTTTTCACTAGGTACTTTACTGGAATATGGGACATTTAGCCTATCAATACAATTTGGTGACACAAGCACCAAAATCCCAAGGCAAGATGCACTCAAGAATTCAGCCAGTGAAGTCCTGGAGTGAAATCTTTGACTCTGAATTGCACGCATTCCCTACCCAATAAGTTACCCAAATAGTTAAGATTAGGTTTTGCAGCAGCAATACTGCTGAAAGGGAGCATGTCTTATAATATCTGATAGGAAGCTTTAAAGGGAGGCTTGAATCTTAAGTTTGTTTCTTCTCTGAAGTGTAAGCATCCAACTTCTGACAACAGAGAGGTGTCAGTTTTGGTTTCACAGGCTGAAATCTTTGCTTTGAGTTTGCACCTAGAAATCACTTTCAAAAAAAGAAAGGCTAATTATATTTTCCCTTTGAAATACAGAGAAAGAAAAAGAGAAAAATGCAGGGTTTTATTAAATGGTTGAGCTTTATGAGGTCTTGTTCATGATAAAGTTGTTTATTTGCCTCTGGCTGAGGACTGTCACATGCGCATTTCACTTTTACAAGTCTTCAAATGCTTTAGCAGGGTGTTTGATGGAACTCTACAGGAAGGTGAAGTCTGTAGCTTTGCATCCTGATGGGGTTTCCCACATTGTGATTGGTGAAAGGATGGATGCTGCTAACCCTTTTCCCAGACTCCTCCCCGTTTTGTTTTTTTTTATTAGTAACAAGTGTGGTTGCTGTTGTTTCTGAAGTGTGGTCCTACAGATGTGTGCTAGGCATGTTCTGGGTTTGCCTATAAGCAGGAATTTAGATAGAGTGCCTTCACATAGATAGGTAGTTGTCAGGCTGCTCAAAACTTAAAATCTTTGAAGAATTTAAAGTTTTAGGGGCTCTTGAAAACTGGGGCTTTGAGGATCACCCTTTAAATTTAGCTGCTTAAGTTTTGCTCGGCTTCCCACTTCAGAGGATCTGTTACTGACTTTGCCAGAATTCTGCCAGAATTCTTTATTGGGATGGGATCTGAAATTCATATCTTCCAGTATCTGGATAAATTACTCTAATGTGCTTGATCTGAAGTAATTTGCTTCCGTTTTACATGGAAAAGAAAGTTAACTTGCATTTGCAAATTGGCTGCATGCATTATAAAACAAAGCTGTTTGTCTTGCTTTGCTTTTTCAGTACATGTTCTCATATATAAAGCATTGACTTCATTGCTCTTTATTTTCTTCTCATTTTTCTTTTAAGGTTTGGTAGTCAACTGCTCAGGTCAAGGATTGCAAAAACTGGGTCCAACCTTACCCTGTGATGCTGATACTCACACTCTGATTCTGGACAAAAACCAGATAATTAAATTGGAACACTTGGAGAAATGCAGGAATCTGATGCAGGTCAGTTTTGCTTGATTTGATTTTGCTGTGAAATAATGGTTTTGTGATGCTAATTAAAATACTTCTCCTTTAAGGCCGTATTAGGCAATTGAAGCAAGTCAGCAGTTACTGTCTTCATAGGAAAACAAATAATGGCTAACTAAAATAGAAAGCTTTGTTTTCAGTGTAGCTGTACAGTTCATAGTGGAGGAGGCTGTTTTACTAGTGAACTAAATAAATCCTCATGGGGAGTGTGTCATAAGAACATTTAGAAAAGTCACAGATAACCCAAATTTTGATACAGCTTAGCTTTTGAATAATTGAGCTTTGTAACCTTAAAAATAACTTTGTTTTATCTTTGCTCTGTGTAATTTGTCAACACACAGGCATACATACAGGCCTCTCTCATTTGGCTTTCAGAACTTTTCACAAAGGAAGAGGATTAGTAGCCTTAATTTACAAGAAGAAAAAAAAAAAGCCATGTGGATTAGGTTAAAATAGAAATAGCAAATGAATAATAAAAAAAAAGCGATCTGGGAGGTATCTATGCAGTCTTGTTAACATATTGATTCATGTAGGCCCTGACATTGCTAGTGTTTATCCTTAATTTTAATACTAGCAGCAGTCATTTAAGTTCATGAGGGTATTAGTGGTAACAGTGTTATCGCTAACATTAGCCTGTGCATGGTGCTCACAAATATCAGATATCAGAGTATTAATCTCTCTGAGGCAAAGCTGTAAAAGTCTGTGTTAAATATCACTGAACGTGCCTCCAGGCAGACTTGAAGTCACCTAAATGCTTCTAGAGACAAGCTGTTTCTCCAAGAGGTGGAAGAGGTTGGGTTTGTTGCTACAACAAATATTCACCAGTCTGCCATCTTGGCGGTCATGTTATTAATTTGTATGTCTCATCAGGATTTATCCTTTAAAAAGTTCATGATTTACAGTCCTGTTAGCACAGGACCTTTTTTTTTTTTTTTTTTTTTTTGAGAATCATGTGAAATGTATTTTGACCTCTGCCATGTTGACAGTAAGTATGATCTTACAGCAGGAATGGTGCAACAATTTGCACAATGATTTGGCAGTTCTGATTTTAAAATCTTATTTTCATGTGATACAATTCCTCATTCATTTTATTTACCCATTGATATGGAGATTTCCTCTTAAGTTTGCAAGTGAGTTGTGAAGACTACTGTATTTCATCAGTAATTTATTTCCTGGCTCTTACAGTCTTTTGTGTCTGTCTTATTTGCTTGAAGTTGAATACACAGATTGAAGTAGTTCCTGTTGGATTAGATTTTTTTTAACCGTTAAAAATAAAAGCCTATACTGGCCATGCAGTTTAAAAGTTAAAACTCTTTCTTTTATTTGTGTGTCAACCTGCAGCTCTCCGTAGCCAACAACCGTTTGGTGCGAATGATGGGTGTAGCAAAACTGACTAAGCTCCGGGTGCTAAACTTGCCTCATAATAGTATTGGGTATGTGGAAGGGCTGAAGGATTTGGTGCACCTGGAATGGCTGAACTTGGCAGGAAATAACCTTAAGGTAATGTGTTTAGTCTTTACACATTTTGAAGAATCTGGTGTTGTGAAAATTTGGAAAATGCTGCAGAAAAATCTTAATACGTTTGTAGGTTTGATTGGAAAAGATGTTTAAGTTTTGTGTCTTCTGGTTTATGAAATAGAAGAGGGCAAATTTTGCACAGAAATTTTCTAGGAAAAACAGTAAAAAGTTTGGTACCAAAATGTAATGAGAACTGGGAAATAGTCCCCAAAATTGGAAAAGAATTGTCATCTTTAAAAAGAAACTGGAAAAACATGATTTTCATTTTCGGTTACTTATCTGGTGGGTTTTTTGTTTTGGTTTTGTTTTTAACATAATTGATAATTATTGATACCTGATTTTATTTAATGACTAAAAACGAATTACTGTGAGTAATTGACATTTTCATTTTTGTAGGCCATTGAACAAATCAATTCCTGTCTATCTCTTCAGCATCTTGATTTGTCAGACAATAACATAGCTCAATTAGGTGATCTCTCCAAGCTTACATCGCTGAAGGTAGATGTTATTTTGTCTCTTTTCTTTGTTACATTCTTCGCATAAAGAAATTTGGTTTGAAAATTGCTGCCTTTTAAAGCATTAATTATTCAAACACTATAATTTCTAGAGGGAAGCATTTTTTTAACTGTGACTATACTTCAGTTCTGCATTTTAAAATGACAAGATTTAAAAATTGGTTTTTCCTTGCTGGAATAAAGAAAAATAATTTTGATGATACTGAAAAGCCTTAATTGTAGTTCTTTTGTGTGCATTGTGCAGGGGTTGCCTGAACAAAAAATATGAGGTTTTGATCAGACGTAAATTTTGTCCACATATTTTTATTTTATAGACTCTGTTGCTACATGGAAATATTATAACTTCGCTTCGCACTGCCCCTGTTTGCCTACCTCAGAATCTGACTGTTTTTTCTTTGGCAGAAAATGAAATCAGAGACTTAAATGAGGTAAGATATAGAAGATATATCACCTAGTCTTTAGGTAAACTGAAAGCAGATGATTGGAGAATTCTTCTGAGCATGTAACTGAAAATGGGCTCTCTTCTTTGAAACAACCCATGTTGATAGAAGTGACTTTTAATACTTTATATGTAATAACTATACTTGCATTGGCTGCACAAGCTAGGTAGTACCTGTTAAAATTTGTCCTTGAAAGAAACTTTGCCTTTTTTGGTTTATGTTTTCATATTACTCAAGGATATCAGAAGAATACTTTAAGGATTAAATTCATAGAGAGCTTTTCATGATTGTCTGAAGGTTCAAAAATGAGCTCATTGACTGCTGCAGAAGGGTTCTGCAGCTGCTGTGTTTAGAACACATGTTTGAATTACGCTTGTTACAGCTGTAGGTTTTTGGGCCTGTGTCTTATTTTATCTATTTCTCAAACACCATCGAAGAGAAACAAATATTCTGCCTGTGATTTTTGTCTTTATCTTTTTGTTGGGTTTTTTGAAATATAAGTAGCAGCCAAAACTGTCAGTTGGACTTGCCTGTTAGAAGACAAATCTTATTTCGGTAATGTGTTTCTCTTCAAAACAGGACAGTGTTTCTCTAACTTTTTAGCTTGCCATTGTTTGGTCAAAATTTCAACACCCCTCGTAGTGCATTGGAATCATAAAAATACTATACCTTCCTGTACATAAAGCCCTATTCCTAGAGTTTAATAGAAGCTAATACTTTTCAAGGACTGTAGTACCTGCAGGACAATTAATGAGAAAATGGCAGTAGTTGATAGGAGGCCCTTTGAAATTGGTCATGTTCAAACAGCAAATGTGATTTTCAGTGTATTTGTATTTATGTTGTTTTGTGTGAGATGTTTAGCTTTAACTAGGGAAGATGTGGTACATTCTGTAAGCATTTAATAGGTTCTGTTCAGTTAACAAATATATCTTGTTTTCTCAAGGTTTCTTTCCTGGCCTCTCTTCATCAATTGGAACAGTTATCAATTATGAACAATCCTTGTGTGATGGCCACACCATCTATCCCTGGCTTTGACTACAGGCCATATATTGTCAGCTGGTGTCTAAACCTTAAAGTTCTTGATGGATACGTGATTTCTCAGAAGGAAAGGTGACATAATAGTATTAATGCTCTAAAATTGTTAAGTAAAGTTTGGCTAAGCTGAAATTGCATTTTTATGTAATAAAAACAAAGATAAGTGCTAATGATCTGAAATTCTGTTTGTTTTGTTAATGGCCATATGAAATACAAGCCAATTAACATTATTGGTTTTGCTATATTTTTCATCTGTTACACTGAAATTATTATGTAAGATCGCAAGTTTATTTAAGTAGAAGTATAAAGTTAAGCTTCTGTTTTGTTACTCAGCTCACAGCAGCACTTTTACAAAGCAAAACTGGGGTAGCAATTTATCAATGAACTGTTAGTCTCTTCAAAGCTTACAGTGTCTTTTACTTTGCAGAATGAGACAATCAGCAGATATTAAAGCTGTTATCTTCGAGGAAGCTCAAATGTGCCCTTCTATGAAGGGCCTGATTTGCACATGCATTTCTAGATTTGGCATTTTTTGTGTCATTAGTCAAATACTATTTTACTCAAGTCACTTGTTACTGTATCACTGTGGTCATTCTATCACTATATCTGTATGACAGCAGAGATTACTTCTTAAAGTTCTTGACATCAGAACAGTCCAACGTAAATATTATCCAGTATAAACACATTCTAGTCCAATACATTAATGTAGTCCAGGACATTGATGATTTTTTTTTTTTTTTTTGCCATTACTAAAATAAAAGGCTGTCTTTTTGGTCAAAGGTAAACCAGTTCTGTTTATTTCACCGAAACAGACTTACCTAAAACGTTGCCTGTAAGAATTTTAGAAACTTTTAAAATTACTAGTGGGGTTGTCTGTATTAACTATGTATTACATTAATTATACAATATATAATTATTTTAAATATACTATACTAAATGTTCTCAGACTGAAGAGCATTTAATTTAAAAACAGATTTCAGTTGTTGAATGTTTTCGGCAAGATTTGCTCCCTGTGGCTATTCTGCATGTTTGTGTGAACTTTTCTGTTTCCGTGAAAGCTTTGCTGATAAATTCATTGACACAAATGTGTTTTCAGTGCTCAAAGACTGCACACAGATAAAGCAGGCACTGCACAGTTTTAGTCAGAGGCTTTTTTTTTCATCAATGCTTATGTGAGGGAACACTTTATTCATTATTCTAGTAACGAAATTCCCAATTCCTCTGGGCACTGCATGTGTTCCAAGTTTTGATTAGATTTGTAGATCAGCTCTTAGGTACCCACTAGAAGTACAGTAATCAAAAGAGAGTTAAGGGGTTTTATGCCATGCATTAATGGTGACAATTTTCCCCCTTCCTAACAGTTTGAAGGCAGAATGGCTCTACAGTCAAGGTAAAGGAAGATCATATCGACCTGGGCAGCATGTTCAGCTAGTCCAGTACTTGGCTACTGTTTGTCCTCTTATATCTACATACGGTCTCCAGACCGAAGAGGATGCCAAACTGGAAAAAATACTGAGTAAGCAAAGGTAAGAACTTCTTGTTTCTCAATTGAGAATATAATTATATGTCTCATATGTTAGATATAAGACTTGCTTTTAAGTCTTTCAAAGCAACTGTGAGGGCTGGAGGTGGGAAGAGTGATAGAGGTACAGGATGTGTCCTAGCGGGAAATGAGAGGCAAGACAGCAGCAGCAGGAGGGGTTTCCTGCCTGCTGGGCCATCCAGGGGCAAATTATCTGTATTTTTCAGTCTGTGATCTGTTTGAAGGTGATTTGTGTTAGGACCGTTTGATTGAAATAAACTACCTACTGAGATTATTATTTTTTTTTTGCCACAGAGAAAGTGAGGAAAACCTCAAAAAGGATCTTAGATTAACTTGTGTTCTAATTGTAAACGAAGACTATTGTGGTACAGTGGTGTTTTGGCTACCTTTTTGTTGTTAGCGTGTTCTTCCTTGGTTTTAAAGTTAAGCTTGTTCTTTGAGAGACACTGCTCCCAGTGATGCACTTGACAATCTCTGTATGTGACACGTTGGGTCTGTCAGCAGAGGCCTCAATGGAGCCTGCTGGTTCTGCCAGCAGCAGCTGTTTTCCTAAGATCTATGCAAGCAGATGAGGAGAGTTACCATGATGTACTTTCCTCCCATGAAAAGGTGAACTAATTGGGATTAAAAGCCAGAAAATGTAACAATGCAAGTTATCTCTATTCCCCAGGACTTATCGACAAACTCTTTTTGCAGAAAGATCGGAGCCCAAGACTCAGTTTTATGCTGATCAGGCCACTTAAATGGTGTAGTGTGGGTAGGAAGCTGGGCAACAAAAGCCTTGTGGTAAGCAGAAGGGTGGTGTCTTGTCAAAAGGGATTTGAACCAAAGCATCTTGAAGGAGGTACTTCATGCTTTGTCAGTGTAGATTGATCTTCAGCAGGAAATTATAGAAATGTTGGGGCCATTTCAGAGGAGAAGGTACAATAAAAGCATATTGACACTGGAATTTCCAATTAAGTGCTCTGACATTCACGTGATGTTTATGGGGAAAAATCAGGAATTTGGCTCGCCAAATATAACTGTTTAAAAATTTAAAGAAAAACAAACCAAACAACAAGCCAACGAAATGAAAACCCAACAAGCAAGCAGAAAAACCCACACCAAAAAGACAGCCCCCCAGAACCCCCACCCACGTATATATACATATACACATATATGATTTTTAAGGCAGTTTAACTTGCTGACCTCTACCTCATGATCTTTAAATTTAGCTGGATTGAAACAACCTGTGTATTTTCTCAATTTGTAAAGGATGATTTTATGTTTTTGGCAATGTTTGTTGATTCATATCAGGATCTGGCCCTTTAGTAATAGGCATACCATTTCCTTCATTCAGTTTTTTTTTCAAATGTAAAAGACACTCCCTCTATTCCTCAAACTCCTCTACACATACAAAGATAACGTATCCTGCAGCATACATTTAAAATATCTGCATGCCTCCTTTGTGTGTAGAAATACTTCATGGTTTTTAGTCTATAGTCAGATTTGCATTTTGGATTTCTTATTTTGTTTTGGTACATGTAATGAAGAAAAATGGGCTGGAGGAAGGGCAACGGGAGCAGTCTGTGCAGTTGCCTACTTTGTGAGTAGTCCTGTTAGTGTCTTCTAGGTGTAGGGATCTGCATAACTAGCCTCCTGTTTTAGAATGGTTTGACCACTTGTTTCTTTTAAAGTAGTTGATAGTTTCTTTTAGATGTCTTCTGTACCAAAAAAAAATTGAAAGAAGTATAAAATCTCTTGGAACTCTGTGCTTAGGCTTCACCAGAGGCAGCTGATGCATCAGAACCAAAATGAAGGACCACCTGCATCTTCTACTCCCAACAAAACACTGCCAGTTAGTTACGAACACAACAGTCCAGCCCAGCCACCACAGATAGTTCTTGAAAGTGGTAAGAAGCTAATCTGCACCTGTGATCTAATGTGAAAATAGATATTTTTTTGAACATAGATAATTTTGTGGAGAGAATTTCGAAACAAGACCCTGTTGTTATTTTATTCTGTTGATCTTAATTGAGTAATACTTTGTTTTCTAAAATCACATTCCATGGTTATTCATGTCTTGAAATGCAGGTAAGATTGTTAGGTGAAAAACACGGTCCAATAAACTGAAGAGTTGCTAGTTTGACTGTTCCATCTGATAAAAGTTTAACTTCTCCAGGGAGAGACAGTTTGTGCAATTTACTGTACCCAGTATTTGCAAGATTTTTAAATGTTACTGTGATTAGTAGTTACTGTCCTTATTATATTGAAATAATGCTTATCATTACAACCTTTTTAGATCTTACACACATAGATTCTAACTATCTAAAACAAATTGTGAATCCCTATGAAAGAAAGGAAGAAAATACGTTACTGAAATACTGTGACACTTTTGAATGTGGCTTGCTTTCCTTTCGAATAGAGCCTGTTGTCCAGAGGAATTCTTGGGTTGGACCAAGTGCAAATGGTGATCATTCCTATGCAGTGACGAACACTTTTCTTCTTGAAAGAAGTCTTCGCAAGGAGCTATACCTTGAAGATATACAGACAGATGAAGACAAATTGAACAGCAGCCTTTTGTCCTCAGAGTCTACTTTCATGCCAGTTGCTTCAGGATTGTCTCCAGTGTCTCCTACTTCAGACCTGAATCTACGTGGAATCAATTTGGGCCTAGAAGATGCTGATACAGTGATTGAATGTGTGAGAGATGTTAACGGTGGAGAAACAGCTAACAAGCAAGGAACTTCATGTGTTACAACAGAGCACTCCAACAAAACAGTGGGAAATGTGGAAACTCAAGAAAATATCAAAGAGGGTATGCTGTTTCCACCTTCTAACCCAGTAAAAGCTGTCCTGACTGCCAATACTAGCAACTCTTCAGCACCCTCTGAAGGACAAGTTCTGCACGGTCACCCCAGCACCTCAGTAGGTACTAAATCAGGAGTTACAGCTCCCTGTCCTGACCAGATGGCAGGAGAAAGTTCTGATTCATTAGCTGTCGTTGATCAAGGTGCAGCTGAACTGCAAAGAATGAATAAAGCAGCTACAAAGCTTCAAGCCTGCTGGAGAGGATTTTACACAAGGAACCACCATCCCCGAGCCAAGGAAGTGCGGTATGAAATTCGCCTAAACAGAATGCAGGAGCACATCATTTGCTTAACTGATGAAATAGAAAAGTAAGTTCAGGTCACACTTTGTACTTTCAAATCTGAATGAATTTAACCATCGTTCCAGGATAATTCAGAACTGGTATAAATGGGTCTTGATGTAACTACTCATCATAGAACCTAGCATTGGTAATATAAAACTGTGATTACAGTGGAGGATTGCTTCCTGTAAGGTAAGCACAGTTATGCATATAGCTGTTCATACTCTAACTGCCTTCTATGAGCAGGTTAGGTTAGAATAATTTTTTCTATTCCTCTGTTAGCAGGACTTGCATATTTCAGTGCATAACCAAAATAGAAATTGCTAAATGTGACTTTTTTTTGCTTGTCTCCTAGCAATTGCAGAGTGTGTAAGTTAAGTGTCCGTATTAAGATACTGAGTGTTGTTTCTCTGTTATTTGATGAAAAGGAGGATTCCCTCTCTGCCTTGCATAATGCAATTTTAAAATGCAATTTTGTGCTTGGTTCTGGTGTTTTTTGGATCCTATGAACCCATGTTTGGAGGAGATGATTATCAAAGTTCCTCAATATGTAAGTTATAAATGGCAGATTTAGTTACTATCTTTCAGAATCAGCCTGAGAACTGGCAGTCTGACAGGCTCTGTTCCTTTACTGTCACAAGAGACAAAAGTTCTTTGAATCAAGTTGAGCCCATAGTGAACCTCTAGAAGCACCCAATGCTTACACATCATGCCTACTTCCAAGTGATATCAGCTGGGGAGAGCGTAATTTGAAAAGAAGCAGCGCTATTTTGGGTTAGTTCCTTTGTGCAGGATAAAGAAGCATGTCTATTTAAAATGAAGAGCTCGGGTTCAGTTTACAAAAACACACTTTAAGTATTAGCAAGTCAATAAATGTGCTGCAGCAAAAGGAAGCAGAATCTTAATGTAACTCTGAAAAAGAAACTTGAAGTCAGCAGCTGGATATTGATGGCAAGCCAGACTGCAGTAATGTCTTAATGTTAGGCTCTGTTGTATCTTTCAAGAGTGCTGTTATATAAGTAGGTATTTTTATGTATCCTTGTTGATCTTGTTACCCAAATGTTGCTTATTTAAGCTGCATAAATTTGGATGTGTCTTCTTGCAGGCTAAGAAAAGAAAGAGAAGAAGATAAGATTCAGAGCCTTGTACAGGAGGAAGCTGTCAGATTTCTTTGGAACCAGGTAAATAGTTTTAATCCTCTTTCTGCTAACATGTAAATTTGAAAGGCATTATTTCATACTGTAGATCCTGAAGAGACAGTCAATATGGTTAATTTTTTCCAATTCTGGAGGAAAATAGCATCTGAATGCTTCTGAAAGAATTAGCACAATAACACTGGTTTTGTTACAAAAGGCTCAATTATAGCTAAATTATAGCTAAATTAAAGCCTGGTGTAAGAAGGAGGACAAAATGCAAAGGAAACTAAATAAATGTAGCAGAAGCATGAAGAATGATGTGACTCCTAGATGCCCAGGGCAAGTGAAATGGTGTCAAGCTGTGTTGCTTGTGAGCAACTAATTTCTAAAGTAGAAAAGTTATAATACATCTTCTAATAAGCTATTCTTCCGAAAATAAGACTGATTGTTTTCTTAAGCATGGGTTATTTCATAAAGTTTCCCCATCCTTTTTATTTTTAAGAGCAAATTCCTTTTTCTTCAGGCATTTGAACTGGGAGGCTTGTGTGCTCTGTCAGTGTGGGACATCTAGGTTTAAAAGCCATTATTTAACAGTGGGAAGAACATACTTTCCCTAAAGGTCTAGTGAACCTTTTGCTAGTTCACTTGGTCTTAAATTTTATACCAGAGCTTTGTTACTGATTGCAAGAAATACTCTAGAAATCAAAGTGCTTTATTAATTGTGTTTCATAATGGAATTCTGTCTACGCTTTACAGGTTAAATCCCTTCAACAATGGCAGCTTTCAGTGACACAAAATTTAGGTGCCACTTGGCAACCTGGGATGCCTTCAGCCAGTACGTTCTGTCCATCTGAACCATCAATTCGATCATCCACACTTGAGCAAGAAACCCCACCAGATGCTAGTTCTGCTTGGATAGCTCCAGCTAGTGACGTTCTTCAGGAAAAGTCTTTGTTGCAGTTCCCAGATTCTGGTTTTCATTCTTCCATGGCTGATCAGACTCACGATGGTGACTTGTGTAGCTCTGAAAAGAGTTTAACAGAAGGAACTGAGAGCTCTCTTTCAGTGGAAACTGTTAAACAATGTGGCAATTCTGTTTCCCCATATTCTTCAGATGTAGAGGATAGCCTTGGGGAATGTGGGCAAAGTAAAGAGAGCTCTGGCAACGAGCAGGACAATGGACTGATACAAGAGTATTTGAAATCTGTTCAGCAGCTGGAAGAGGCTGATGAAGGGACAAATTGCAATGATGAAGCAGAGAGTAGCTGGCCACAAGTCACTTTTTCAGCAGAAGGCCAAGATTCTTCATCTGACGCTGTCTCTGTAGATCTCCCTGAAGATGCATCTTCTCATCCCCGAGGTGAAATCAGTCAGACATCAGAAAGCTGCAAGCTGAATTCAGGAATAGTAGATGGGAAGCAAACAGACTGTGATTCCGCGTTTCAGATGCTGCATGTTGGGATAGCTGTATAGTAGGCTTAGTTCCAAAATGGACTAGGGGTTCCATTTCATCTTCTTTTTTTTTTCCTTTTTCTCATTTGTACAAAACTTACTTTTCATGTGTGCTGTTTCAGATTTTGACTCATGTTAACAATGTATGTTTTCATTAATATGTTTTCATTAATATTTTATTGATGTTGCTGAGGACTGACACTGACTATGCTAACCTGAAATCAGTGAAGTTCTCAGTGACAGTCATTATGCACTTTATTTTAAAACATAAAACTGATTTCCTAACAACTGGCTTCCATTAAATTAATTCTGAAGATTAGGGCTGTTGGGGGGAGTGTGTTTGCTGTACATTCACTTTGATAAATGTGTTAGTAAGTCTTTTAATTTTTCTTTTTTTTAAAAAAATCGGGATTGAGTTCTTACTTTGCGAAGAGAAGGAAAAAATATGGGAAGAAACGGAGTCAATATAGCAAAGTGTGTGCATATGGATACAGCCTCATGAGAAAGATGAAAGCAGTTGCCTTTCAGCCTTCTTTTTTACTTTAACAAGAGTAATTTGGTCAGTCTTTCAAAGATGCATTCCATGAAACCAGTGTGCAAGTCAGTAACTTCTTTTTGTCATTTTACTTGAAGCTGCTGGCTAGGAATTAGGCCATTCACACGTGCACTGAAACAAGGACTTACAGGAGTCAGACCTTAGGGAACTTCAAACTAACTTTGACCTTTGTTTGCCCTGGGTTTGAATTTCCCTGCTTTCTCAGGTAAGACTCAAAGTGGAACCAGTAGCAGCCTTTACTAAATAAGAATTTCAAAAGGGCATGTAATTTGGGAACATAGTTTTCAAGCCTGCGCTGCTGGGTTACAGCAGCAGACTTGGTGACGTGTCTTTTGCCTCCACAAGGATGCTAATGCCATTTTGGGATTTGGATCTGCTTTCAAGACAGTGTGTTTGATGAATCACAACTTCTTCTACCTACAGGTATAAATACTAAAAGTAAATGTCATGACTTAAAACTGTTTTTTGACATCTCTGTTGCTTTGGGTTTTTTTTCTCTGTCCAGTATTTGACATTCTAATTAGATGTGGATAAAAAGCTGTATTTCTTCCCAACTGGCAAACGTGCTAAGTTACCTAGGGCAAGGAGTAGGGTTTGCATTTTGCCTAGCCATTGCTATGTGGTTTTTTTAGAGGAAAAAGATCAGGTATCTTAGTACACCACAAAAGTGGCAAGGGAAATCTGTTTTGCTATGTGATTTGTAATGGAAAAGTTGATGTGACTTCTAGGGGTCAGTTAAATTTGCTAATACTGCATTTTGCAAGTGTACTGGAACTGGAACAACGTGCACAGTGTTTCCGTGGTTGCTAATATTAACTTCTCAGCTGGGAAGACACTTGCCTATTAGAATTCTCTGAATCCACAGATTGACTTCTGATGCTATAGTGTGATTAAAATCAAATAGTGCTGTTTTAAAGTGACTCTTACGTTACCATGTAAAATAGTTTAATTTTTGTAAAAGCTTAGGTTGCTTGTCTACTTTAGGTTCAGAGCAGAAATTTATCACTACTTAGGAGTTTGGCATGAGGCCAGCATCCGCTTGAGGCCTGAAAATATCCTTTTTTTAGAGCATAAATGGTGTATTGGACTTGTATCAGCCATCCACCCACTGGTGAAGTTCACCTTGGAAGAATAAAGCTTACCTCTGCGTATGGATTAGCCATCATGTCTTTTGCCCCACCTCCAAAAGAATAAGTTCTAGGGCATTAACTTTTCAAAAGAGCTGTCATTGCAATCAAGCTGACATCTGACTGTGCCTTGCATACATAAGAGCATTTTAAAAAACCCCAAACAACTGAGGTGGTAGATTCTTAACGTGCTAACTCTCTAACTCAGTCTAGTTACAGCACGTTTGTAGCATAACCATAGTCATAATTAGAGCATGAATGTGCTTGGCTATTGTGGTGCAGGTGCATTAATGTATCACAACATCTAATTAACTGTGCAAAGAAGTTCGTAGGCTACATGATCGTACCCTTGTCCTCTGAAGGTTTCTCAGCTTACATTTAAATCTGCTATGCTTGGAGATCTCTGCAGTTCATAGGCTTTGGCTCTTTGACTGTGGAAAATCTCATGTAAAGCTTTAAAGAGACTTTCTTTGGGTTTGGGAGAGAAAAGATTTGTCTGTGAAACAGTTATTGGACCTTACACTGTGGAGGCAGTGGTTGGGTGTAACAAAACAGTAAGGTCTCTTTTGAGGCATATGTAAGACCTGGGAGAAATTAGACCACTGTCTGGATAACGTTTCACTTACTGAAGACACTAAGGGACCCTATATATTTTGCTGTTTTGTATTATTGTAACTTTTGCTGCAGAATTGGAAAGAGGAGAAACAACTTTAATTTTGGAGGTATCAAAGGGGAAAAACTTAGTGAAACAATTTTTCATGGACGCCCTAGATGTTACTTGATGTTTCTTCTGTTATTAGGGCTTTCAAACACAAACACAAGAAGACTTATTTTAACTAATGCCTAAGTCAACTGTTGGCTTTTTTTGAACTTGTACATCCAAAATTGATTTTTATGAAGGCACAGCAAAGTGTGTACCAACGTATAATCAGTTTTATCTTACCATTTTGGGGAAGCTGTGAAATATGAAAGATTTTTATTCTGATGTTCTGAAAAGTGTCTTGCATGTGTAGAAGGTGAGTTGCCTAGATATACAGAAATTGCAAAGAATGATGAAGCTTATTTTTTACAAGGTTAGCTGTAATTAGTTTGTATATACACAAAATATTTTCATCTTGACCATTAAAAGGCATACAGGGAAAGACATAATGGGGGCATAGAGTGGAAAAATAAGAAATCAAACTGGATGCATACTTAAAAATGGCTTCTTTCAGTCCATTTTGAGCTCTCAAAGAATCATGATATAGAAATATACATATAGGGCTTAACATTTACTCAATTGTCTGTATAATTTTTCTTAATCTAGGTATGTAATATTCTTTTACCTGGATAGGGAGGCACAGCTCCCTCTGGAGATGATGTAAATTTTATAAAGAAATCAGAAGGCCTAATATATGAAAATCCGTGTCTGAAATTTTCCTGTATTAATATTGTATGTCTTTCAGCATTTTCATTTTGCAAGGCTTCACATTCTTCAACAGAAGAATGTACTTTGTAGAAGGAAAGCTTGTCCATTATGCTTTGTCCCTGGCTGATCCTCCAGTGCTGACGGGAGAGATTACTAATGGTTACTTGCCAGGGAGTATTGTCAGCTCTGCTGTGAGAATAGTTTAAGTGCTTCTTTAATTTGCTTGAGAAAAAATCAGCTGAATATAACTCAGAGTAGCAATTCAAACTGTGCCACATGAGTAGTTTTGCCCCAAATGAGGTGGCTGACACATGCAGACCTCTTTCTGTGGCAAAAATCAGTATTTTGCCTGCTTTTCTGAAGGCAGGGACAAGGAAGAAGGTGGAAATGCATTTGTCTGTGTTTTCAGATTCAGTCTGTGATAGCAACACCAACGCTTTTATGATTACTATTTCATTTTCCTCCTAATTGTTTTTATAGGTTATAGAAATTTTAGTCTTTCATGCAATGAAGAATGCATTTTTTTCTATTGTATATAATATTTGATAGATGCTGTTCCAAATGGTATTTGGAAAAGGAGAAGAATACCATGAAAGCAGGCTTGTTCACATTTTATATTTTAAGGTTTTTTTTAAGGTATTTGGATTGTATCAATTACTCTCTTTACAAAAGAAAAACACAAGGCAATGCCTCATTAATGACAGTAAGTAAATTTCCGTTTCTGCCTTCTTCCATGAACTGAACTTAATGGTCACAACTCTGTTTTCAGTACCTAAAACTGTCATTTAAGTGAACGGGAGATTTAGCTGCTGAATGAAAGCAGCGACTGTAACGTGTCTTTTTTTGTGGTGACTATTCCTGTGTGGTGCTATTTTGTAAACCAAGTGCGTTTGGCAAGGATTGGATTTTTAAAAGGTACTGAATGTTAGCCTAACTCTTTGCTTTCATTTCCTTAAAAGAAGCAGGGTCGAGCTTAAATTGAGTCTTTGCGAGCTGGCTGTCTAAATTGGGATTTTTTCATATTTGCCTCTTCAGAAGTGTTCTTACACCACAGAGCAAGAAGGCATTAAAACTGCAAATTTTAATTTGTTGCTTCTAAAACACAAATATCTTCCAGCAAATACTTGAGAAAGTCTTTGTTAAACTAAATTGCAGAAGCCTAACATTTTGTGTATAGTTAAGTTCCTCAACAAACTGTAGTCTACTATTGCATGCAGCAATTTAAATAATGCACTTAGCAGCCAGTCTGTCTGTATATAAAAAGCAAGGGTTTTTTCTGAATAATGTTTGTATGTCATTGAGCTTGCAAATTGTTTCTTGTTTTTATGAACTTGTATATATTGTCTGAAGAACTCCGATCTTAATTTCTATTTGTAGCAGTTGTTTGATGAACAAAAAAATGGAAGATACATTCCTTTGAGACTACCTGAGACTACTTTTTACTGGGCTTGAAGTTACAGTGTGTCTCTCTCAGATAAACTTCTTCCTGAGAGGATAGAATTGTAGCATTTAGTGAGGACGGATTGAATGACATTAAGATATAAAAACTGGTCAGTTCCCCTGCTTTTAGCTATTGGAAAAGAGACTTTTTTTTCCTGTTGTATTAACTTCTTTTTTTTTTTTTCCTTCTTTTTTTCCCCTGAGGACTGTGCCACCCAAATTAAGTAAGCATCAAGTATTCATTAAGTCTTTTTTCATAGTTACAGATTTTTTTCCCAGTTTGGTTTTCTAGGACAAGTTACTGAAAAACACTTGCTTTCTTATAAGCCTGCCAAAAAGTTGGAACTTTCTACCTATTTTAAATGCTTTCTCTGTCAGGTAATGCAAAAAGCACAGGATCCTTTACTTGCAAAAGCGTAAAACAGTATTTATCAGGAAAGGTGCTTCATCTCTTGGAAAGTGCCATGCCAAATTTTGTTGTATAAGAGCTCTCAATAAGAAACTTCTTTTCTGGCTTCATTACATTTATAAGTATACGGGCCAAATTTACTTGTAGCATAATTCTACTGAACTAAATTTTGTGGAGTCTTTCACATTAGTATTCTACCTCTAAACTAGAATCTGAAAAACAAAACAAAAAAAACCAAACAAACAATTAGGCATTGATTTGTCTTTCTGCTTCTCACTGTTTTCTGTGAAGAATGGTGGGTGGTTAAATTGGTACAGTTCATATATTTTCTATAAGTGTTTACATTTCTGGATTTATTGTTTCTTAAATATTTTGTTTGTACCTCTGAGTTTTGAATTTTAAATAAATGATTTGTACGTTTGTTGAAAATGTTAATTTGTACTTGATCCTGACTCTTACAGCTGGTAGTCCTTGTCTTACAATCGGAGGGCTCTTTTGGAGGTGGTTTAGACGTACGAAGCAGGTGTGACAAGGTGAGCGTTAGCACTCATGACTTGGTGCAGCTGAGGCACCCAGTGCCCCACTGTTTGTGCTGAAGATAGTACGAGTGTGGTGGGGTACTCGAAATTTATACACCGATTGATGAGTAGATGCCACTGAAATTGGTATTTGTGACTTGCAGTCCTTTGTTTCTGTCACTGGCCCTCCCTTTCATCTTCTTAATGCCCTACTGTGTTTACTGAGTACCAACACATCTTTTAATTTACAGAGCTTTCTAGAAAGAAAATTAAGGCTATGGGCTTATCAAGAGAAAATACAATTGCAAAGCATGTTGTTCCCTCTCCTGCTGTTTTGGTTTGGTCATATAGCTGCTGTGGGCTTAAATAAACAAAGACTAATTAAACATCTTTCAGGCTTTAACAGACAAACAGTCCAGGAGCTCAGACATGTATGAAAGTCATGTTTCACTGCAGGGCAGTCATCCCAAAAGTGGAAAAAAAAACCAACAAGCAAACACACACACACTTTCTTTTGCTTAACTCTCATTTCACAGAGGGAGGTTAGTGGGCGTTTTTAAACTCTTCACATTACACTGAAGAAATTAGCCAAGGTTTTTAGTTGGGACTCTTCTTGCTCTTCTGTGAAGATACTTGAAAAACAGGGCGTAGCTTAAATCCCCTTTTTCCTTGCCCAAATCCTGTTTGCTTCCTCTTTTTGATATGTGCGAGACTACATTGGACAAAGGAAGATAAAGCAGAAAATTGTGTACAGGATGCCCAGATGAAACCAGTTGTGACCTATGACTTCCTAGACTCTGATTTGTATGAAAACTGGGAAGTCCATGATTATGAAGAATGCCCTGGAAAACGTAAAATCCGTGCAAATTGTGTTGAAATTGTTCACGTGTTGGGTTGAAAGCAATAAACTCTTACAAAATCTTAAAGCAATTCTCAAACAATGTGGGGTTGTGAGGAACAGCAAGTCTAGCAGCCAGGGCAGTTCCGTTAGTATTGTGCTTAACGGCATTCAAGCAGCAGCCTTTGATGTCTCTTCCTGTCCGTTTTTTGTTACACCAGCTGAAGTTCTCCAGTCCCTTGAGAGCTTGCAACACGTTTTCTGGTGAGGGAAATGCATGGAAAATAAGCTGAGGAGGTTACTGCTGCTTATTTGTGTAGAGGCTGCGGGACCTGAGGAGAAACAGGAGACACCAAGAAGCTCTACAACTTGAACTCTTTCCTTCCTTCCATCACTGGTTCCTACAGACCCTTCGACTTGAAGTTAAAGGCTCTCTGCAACTACCTGAAAGGAGGGTGTAGAGAGGCAGGGATTGGTCTCTTCTCCCAAGTCACAGGCAACAGGACTAGAGGAAATGGCCTCAAGTTGTACCAGGGGAGGTTCAGGCTGGATATTAGGAAAAATTTTTACACGGAAAGGCTTATCAGGCATTGGAATGGGCTGCCCAGGGAGGTGGTTGAGGCACCATCCCTGGGGGGTTTCAAAAGACGGGTTGAAATGGTGCTTAGAGACATAGTTTAATAATGTGGGGGGTTCTTTGCATGGTTTTGTGTTTTTGTTTTTGTTTCTTTTATCAGAGTTAGGTGGATGGTTGGACTAGATGACCCTAAAGGTCCCTTCCAGCCTAGATGATTCTATGATTCTGAAGGCAAACGCGTGTGCTATTGGAGCCTGTATTTTCAAACCCAGTTCGCAGCCGTCTTGAGCTGAGGTCCCTGGGGTGGAGATCATTCACTTGTCCTCTCCTCATTGGGGCTTGCTTGTTCCCAATTTCAATACTTTTTCTACAGCAGATTTGGTTTTTGATTCTCTGCCTTGACTCACAGATACTGAGAGTCTTAAGCCCATGACGTAGCCACTCTTTTGCCAGCAGGACAGGTGAGCTACCTTTCTCGCCTGCTTTCTCACATTCATAGTTGCCTGATGCTTTCCCTTCACTGGTGTAGCAGGGTCAGTGTTTAACTCTGGATATGCTCCAGGCAGCCTTTGGCCGGGATTGCTGTGGGCACACTGGTCCTCTGGTGGAAAAAGGGAGAGTGAGAGCTGGAAGAGCTTCTGATGGTCCCAAAGGGGAACAGAACTGCCTGGGGGCAGTGGGGAGCTGTGCTCCTGCCTGTCCCTGGAGTGGAGAATGCAGCAGAGCTGCCCGAGGGGGCATCTGCAGCAGATTTGCTGGCACCGAAGGGAGGTGGAAAGGCTGCTTGGTGCCTGTAGGTGAGCTTCTCTGTAACCTTTTGGGAAAATTGAAGGAAGCAGGAAGAGGATTCTTCTGGCAAAAGCTCTATCTCTTTACGAATGTTAGATGATGCAAAAAAGGGTCTGGGTGGCACCAGATCAGCACAAGCTTCTAACCAAGTCCAATATACTTTAGTTGTTGCTATGCCTGAAACCGGTGGATGTGCTGAACTTGTACACAAGGTCAGAGTGAAACTCGCTGTTCTAGGAACTGTGAGGTGGGGCAACACCAGATGTTTGTGTAAGTGGAAAATGATTGGAGAAGCGATACAGGGACAACGGGGCAAAAAGGGGAGTGGTTGAAAATGTGTCTAGGAAGGGAACAGAGCGGGTTGTGCTCTTTGCAGACTGTCCAAGACTGTCAAATGCATTGTTGGTTAAATCTCATAATGTCTGAGCACAAGGATGTGTTTAGTTTGCCTCAAGGGGTGACCCAAAACATTCCCCAACACTTGCCTATAATTGAGAGTTGGTTCAATAATCACAGATGCATTATCTAATATACTTGTGTATTATTGACGATTATTTTCAGGTAAGGCTGTGGGGCCAAAAGCCCAGTGTAACTTCACTTCACTGCATGTGATTCTGGAAAAATGATAGATTTTTCAGAAGTAAGAGAGAAATAAGGAAAAGATTGGTTCTTTTTCATTATCTGTCTTTCCATACTCATCTCAAAATAATTGCTGAATGTCTCTGGTGTGATAAAACAGGAGGGATGTAAAGTGAGTGACAACTGCTGAAACTATAGTTTTTTGGGGCTAGTGACATCTAGATGGTGCTTGTGGAACAGACCTCACCCATAGCCATTGACATTCAAATAGCTAAAAACCAAACAGCCTTTTATAAGGCCCCTTCTACAGAGCATGGGGAAGATGTTTATGGCCTCTTTATGCACGAGGTCTTACCACTTTAGAGATTAGAAAAGCACATTTAATTCATTATCAGGTCTTCATCAAGGCTAGTTACAATAATAACCAAAGAATTTATGGGGAAAAGTAGTGGGGATCCTTTCCCATCATTGAGGGATGGTGAAATGTAAAATGTGGCAGAGAATAGCATAGCCTATTTCCTATGAAAAAAGCACAGGTCTTGTCATTGTTATTATCTTCTGTGCCCTCACCACCAACATCCATCCAGTTATATTACAGCAATGGGTTTATGCCTGGTATTTAGCACACTAATTAGATAGTTTTGCCTTGGGTCACACTTTGAACTGAAGAATCTCTGGGAGAATTTGGGGCACTGCATGGCTCGTGATACAAAATTGATAGACTTCATATATAGAATCATAGAATGGTTAGAGTTGGAAAGGACCTTAAAGATCATCTAGTTCCAACCCCCCTGCCATGGGCAGGGACACCTCCCGCTAGACCAGGTTGCTCAAAGCCCCATCCAGCCTGGCCTTGAACACTTCTAGGGATGGGGCATCCACAACTTCTCTGGGCAACCTGTTCCAGTGTCTTACCACCCTCACAGTCAAGAATTTCTTCTTGATATCTAATCTAAATCTCCCTTCTTTCAGTTTAAAACCATTACCCCTCGTCCTATCGCTACACTCCCTCATAAATAGTCCTTCCCCATCCCTTCTGTAGGCTCCCTTCAGGTACTGGAAGGCTGCTATAAGGTCTCCCTGGAGCCTTCTCTTCTCCAGGCTGAACAATGCCAACTCTCTCAGCCTGTCTTCATAGGAGAGGTGCTCCAGCCTTCTGATCATTTTCGTGGCCCTCCGCTGGACTTGTTCCAACAGGTCCATGACCTTCCCGCGTTGAGGACTCCAAAGCTCAACATGGTACTCCCAGTGAGGTCTCACCAGAGCAGAGTAGAGGGGGAGAATCACCTCTCTTGACCTGCTGGCCATGCTGCTTTTGACACAACACAGGATGTGGTTGGCTTTGTGGGCTGCCAGCGTGCATTGTCAACTCATGTCAAGCTTCTCATCATCCACGAGCACTCCCAAGTCCTTCTCCTCAGGGCTGCTCTCCAACCATTCCCTGCCCAATCTGCATTTGTGCCTGGGATTGCTGTGACCCAGGTGCAGGACCTTGCACTTGGCCTGGTTGAACTTCATGAAGTTTGCATGGGCCCAGTTCTCAAGCCTTCTTGAGGTCCAGGTCCTTCTGCATGGCATCCCTTCCCTCCAGCGTGTTGATCGTGCCACACAGCTTGGTGTCATTGTCTGCCTTGGTCATCGACACGTCGAAGTATTTTCCTGTCTGCCGCAGAGGGGAAAAAAAAAAAAATCAATATCAAGTAGCTTTCAAGATACTGTACTTTTACCATTCTGCTTACACAGCCAGACAGCTTTTAATTCTTGACTGACAGTGTTTAGCACTAATAAAAGACGGTGCCTGTTGAGAGGAATGCTTTCCATCTCTGCCAGGTAATCATCATTGTAATGTGAGGAAAGGAGAAAAGCAGATGTGAGATCACTTAGCTCTTTCAAAACAGCTATGGTTGATGGGGTTGGGGGCAGGAGACACTTTTAATATCTATAGTCGCTAAAGTATTATGTTCACAAGAGTACTTCAGCTGCTTTGTCTCTGTTCCTGGTTTTAAGCAAGTCAGGTATTCCTTGGTAAAAACAAGAATGAGCCTTGAACCTGTACTCACGCAGACAACTGCTAGCAGGTGAATATTTTAGAAAAAGGTATTTCCAAAATTAAGCAGTGTTTCCAAGT